GCATGTATTTAAAAAAAAATGAAAAGAAAATAAGTCAACAAAAATTAGAAAAGTCAAAATATACTTTCAAAAATAGTATTCGGTTCATGATCAGTTTTGCCATCATAACAAGATGATTTGTTATGCTATAAAAAATATGTATCATAAGTTATGAAAATTTTTTCCACTTATCTAGAAATATAATAAATTGATGTACTCACCTTCAGTGTTTCTGGTTGTGCTGAGTTGAGTTTTCTTCTGCCATTTAGAGGTGCCACAGGGCAAATGATATTAATCCACAATGCAATCTTAATTATATCCCCTTTCTGTTAGCTGCTTCCGTAGCAGGGACACATCTATACAAAACACAATGTAGTTCTTATGCTTGCGTTTTAATTTCTGTCCAGATTTTACAGTTTTGGCCCATCCTTCAACATACATGTATTAACATTAAATGAGAAAGGATATATAAATGTATACACAAACTCGGCCATGATAATTCCTCAAATAATTTCTCCATGTAATACCAGTTCGTTCAATAAGACCCGACCATAACAGCTATCATATTACGATATCTAACATGTCTAAAGCATATGCCTGCATAGGGAGGCGACATTATCAAAGATAAGGGTGACAATAAAAGATAGGCTAATCACACAGCGTGAGTTACCTTATTTATTTTGAAGAGAAGGCCTGTCACTTCCAGTCAATCATTGTAAATCATTTGTGCTCCACGTGGGTTTGTTGACAATAATATTTCACGCTGAATCGTCTATATGTTAGATTATTACGCGAATGTAGTACACAATTGATAAAAGGAGTTACATACCTCTTTTCTTCTATTTCATACAAGATTATAGAAAAGATAAGCTCCTCAGTAGCTATGTACTTGTCATTAGTTCTTAAACATAATTACCTACTTGAACTATTTTGTCCCTCGTAGTATTTCTAAAGATCGCTTCAGTATCCCGTGCTAATCAAATGTTTATGTTTTAGACATACAGAGTTGTCGTTCGTTCTTCTCTCAAACGTGAAACGTATCAGCAGTAACTAAGTAACTATTCGTTCTATTATTAGGCTATTATTTTTATTGGACTTTTTTACATTAATCAAAATAAATTGTTAAAACACACGCTTTTTGATTTGATAATAACAATAAAGATTGGGAAGGGGTCAAAAATGATTAAGCGGGTTGTATGCCCTTAGTTTAAGATACACCCGTTTGGAGTACCATGAAGCGGGGCAAACATCTTGAGAGGTCGAAAGGTCAACAAAGCATGCAAAAGTAAAAGGCGGCTTCCGCCTAATAAAAAGGAGAAATTTACCTGAAAGTTAATGAATTATAAGAAGACTTTGGCTTGAGCCAATATTATTAACTGATGTTGAAGTTAAAGATTCATTGAAGTCTTCAATTAAAATACATGTACTAGTTATGAAACATAATTTGATCCTTAAATTATGTTGGCGAATATTATATATATTATATAAAACACATACGAATAAATGGAAAGAGTCTTCGGTTATACAAGTCTGCTGCTAAAGCTCAAAATTTGAAGGTACTAGTATTCTAAGGACGCGTAACCCTCTAACGCTGGTTTTTACATAAGAATCATCAAATTCTAATAACGATACACATAAGTTTAAGATCGGAAAAGAAATAATAAATGATGACCTATACCATGTAAATGTTTGTAAATAATCCATTTAGCAATGGTTAGCTTCGGCTGTCTGCAAATACAAGCCCAAAGAAGGAGATACACAAGCATTCACAATAAAGATGCATATGAATTTCATACATGTCACAATTACCGCACTGTAGAAAAAAAATAACTAGTTAATGTCACGAAGAAAACTAGTAGATTCACTGTCCATACAATCACTACCTTAATAGTAGTTTTACCAGATATTGGTATATATTTACTAGATAAGATTAGTAAATTTAGAATTGATGGGTAAATTTCACCAGGTATCTAAGTATCTATACGACCTCCGCTCCACAGCTCACTATCTTAACCAGTAAACTGAATGTTTACTAATCACGACCAACGCTTTACGAAACACACTGGTTAAATTCACTAGGTTTTTCTTTCAGTGCGATACTGATTTTCGTTGTGTAGATTTAAAAATATAAAGAACGAGGGCGCTTTTGATTGGCATTCGGCAGGAATCTGGGCGTAATTGAAAAGTGAAAATTTTATCGACATGTCACATGAAATTTTAATCATTTTTTAATTTATCGGGTTCCTGTGCTACAGGAAAGGAAAATATTTTCCCGAAATCGAGCTTTGATTTGGTAAAAAATAACTTGAAAATTGGCCAGATCAGACATTTGGTACAAAATGGTACATTTTTAAACACGTTTTTCTAAAATTTTTCTATCTCTCGGTCTTCTCTCCATGATTTTGAAACGTTATTTGTGTGTATTTTAATTCAAAGAAACGAATACACATTTTTAAAAAATGGAGAGAACACCCAGAGACCACGAAAAATGAACTTTTCCCCCAAAAATCCAAATGTGTGAATGTGGTGCTTCTTTGTCCTTTTTAAATCATCTTTATATGTGTAGCGGTGATAGCTCAGTAAGTTGGGTACCTGTTCAGTGCGCTTGAAGCGAAAAGTTTTTGGTTCAAGCCTGGCATGGGGCGTTAATTTTTTTTTTCGCAAACAACCATTTATTTTGATAGTTTCGTTTTATGTACTGATGTCTGATGTATTAAAATTTTGAATTAGATATATTTTTGTTCAGTTTGGTTCCCGAGCGAAATCAATTCCAATCTTCTATTCTATAATGTATATATACACGTATCATGCAGTTATGAATTAAATATTTTAGGTGTTTATTTCTTGTGAAACATTACTATGTTAAAGTACTCCCTAGGAAAAACGGACATAAATGTTACAATCTGACAAGGTATTTATAACTAAATGAAAAAAAAAAAACTATGGACGTGTTCGTAAAATCTGACCAGGTATGTTCAGCCAACCAAATCCTGGACATTTAAACCATAAATGTTTCGTACAAATGATTCCTGCAGATCACACACCAAATGCGCCCATCTTCTTATGTATCAAATTCATCAAAGGCCTATTTACCGTACACGGTATGATTTGTTAGATGTGACTCGCCACATCTTACAAATCATGCCGTGCAAATATAGGAAAATTATAAGCCAGATATGAAGTCAGATGGAGTCAAATAGAATAGAGACTTTTCCATTTTATCTGGCAAGTCAAATGGTTTGAACCCATCATAAGCAAAGTCAGAAAGGAAAACCTTAATTAGGTACAATCAAAACATGGATTTTCCTTAACCTTTTCTACGGATTAATTTTAAGATAAATGTGAGATATAACATGGCCAAATCTAAGAGGAAAGTTTTCATTCCATGTTCTTGAATTGATATTGACAGGAAAGTTCAACTGAACAAATCAACTGGTTAACAAATTAAACCTAAAGTAAAATTGTCTGACAAAAATGAAACCATGTTGGTCTCCATATCCGATTTGCCGGGTATTACTTATCTCATAAGGTTTTGCCCATGTTCATTTGGGTTCAAATGGTACATAGCTGCTATCATTTGAAAAAGAAAACTTAAGGTAGTATATACGCATGTAATTGATGTTTCCCATTGTTGAAATTGTGAACAATAAAAAAAAAAATTGAGAGAATATTAATTCAATCAGCAGTCTCGTTTTGTCATCATTTCATAAGTTCTATGGTAGATACACTGACCTTTAATGTCCTTGGTCAGCAAATACAATTTATCATAGTCAAATGCTAACTGACTTTTTTCATTCTGATTATTAGGCCATTCTTTACATACTGAGTTGTCCACGGATTTTTTCCGTTATATCCCGATCATCAAGAACACAGGCGGCGGGTGTGACCGTTCGGCAGAAGAAACTCACTTTTCCACGGCATCCGCTCCCATATTTGGTATTTTGGAGGTTCGTGTTTGCCGTGCTCCAATTTTTTTTTATGTTTTAATGAACTTTTGAGCTCAAAGATTGTTGGTTATCTCCACATATTTCATGTACTACATATCTAACAAATCATACAATCTAAATCAAACACTGGAGCCATATGTGAAATCACAACTGAAATCACATCTTACAAGAGAGGCCGTGTAAATAGGCCTTAATTCAACGTGTCTTTATGAGTGAAATACTCTCGAATAGAATGTAAAACAACATACAATCAAACAATCATGTAACAAATTATTGAACGTGATGTAACTAAGTCTCTGAAGTAACTTCTGTGGGACTAATTTTTCACGCGACTCTCGGTCTCCATTACAAAGCGTTACAATTGTATAGAGGTTAAAACACATTTACTAAAGTTGTTAAAACTACTCTTATTTTCCAAATTGAAAAAAGAACCATTTTAGTCTTAAAATTATGGCTGTTAACCGATTTTCTTTTTTACATTTATTTGATTGAAAATGAACTTGGGAATTGTACTTTTACAAACTTCCAGACATAAACGTTTTTGAAGAGGCCGTAAAAGTTTTTAATTTTTGTTGCAATTGATACAGTCTTCTTTAGCCTGCAAAATCCACATCCCCAACGGAAATGTATTATGTAACAATGTGCCTGTAAACATTGATTTTATCCTTTAAGCAACTTCATTTGTGGAAAACGTTTGCATGGCTTAATATTAAACAAACTTTCGACAAATGCTTAATTTTTACCTGTGATTGATTATCGATAAGAAAGCCTAAATTAAAAACAGTCCGTGTTAATTAGTTAAATATAAAGTCTGGGTTACCGGCGGCGAAACGTACAGCTTTTTACTCACTATAAGATGAAACGCAAAATTTGCTTTTGCATCTCTCAAAATAATTTGGTTCTGAAAACCATGATGTACAAGTTGACATTTTTAGCACTTTTACCCGCCAGATCATACAAACCTCATTTGTATCTGTGTGTTTCAGAGCCTGAGCATTGATTGTCGTCTAGCACACGTGGGTGTCCTTATATGCAAAACGTCATCTGTCGTGAATGAAACCATCGCAACTGCTTAGCTTATCTGAGAATAAATCAGGATCTCAAAGTAATTCCGGAGTCATAATGCTAAAGTCTTTCATCAATGGAACGATGAACATCTCCGATCCACCGCCATTCTTTAATGACACCATGGAGGAAATGCAAGAACTCCAATTTTCTTTGAAATGGGTGGTGACATTGTCATGTTTATATGCTACCACTACAGTATTTTCTGTGTTTGGAAATGTAATGGTCATTTTAGTTTTCTTTAAGGGTAGACAATCAAAAACAGATTTGCGACCATACCTTGTGAATTTGGCCGTCGCAGATTTAATCATGGCAGTCTTTTGTATGCCGTTTACATTTGGTGATGTTGTCTTTAGGTCATGGATATTTTCTGATCCCATGTGCCCCATTGTCATTTTTATGCAAACTTTATCCGTTTCCGCAAGTGTTTTTATTAATGTTGCAATTGGAATTGACCGATTATTAGTTGTCTTGTATCCATTAAAATGCAAACGATCCAAATCCCGCACTAAACTGGTTCTCATCTTTATTTGGCTCATGTCTCTTATTTTGGCTTGTATGGTAGCACCTGTTGGAAAAGTGGATAATGACGAAGGAAGATATCAATGCCAAGAAGTCTGGCCAAGTCAAAGGCACAACCAAATCTTTACTATTGTGATATTTATTTTGACCTATGCTTTACCTCTGTTGATACTTACGATTTCATACTCAATAGTGGGCATTATACTCTGGAAACGAACGTCCCCTGGAAATAGTCATCATGTAAGGGACTTGATGCAGCTGAGGGCAAAGGTCAAGGTAAGGCACCTATTGTGACAAATGAATGTCTTATTCTGCACTTTTTTCCACATGCAAATGAAAATAGAAATTGCAAATAATATAGGTAATCTTAAGATTTATTTATTCAATGATGCTAATCTTATCAAGTTTTGAAAGGCTCTTATATGTTAAGTTAGCGCATCAAATAAAAATAAGTTTCAATTTAGAATTGCTTTGCTTTTATTGGTAAATACAAACGTTCAGCAATATGCTTTCAGAGTTTTTGAGTATGAGTATTGATATTATATGCTAGACGTAAGCACTATTTGTCCAGATAATTATTATTTTCATCAAATATGTATGTGTAATATAAAACCCTTGTCTGTGTAGAGAAAGGAAACCTGACTCTGCACGAAGTGAACGTGGTTTTTGTCTTGTGAAACTTTCCTAACATAGCATTTTTTTTACAACATATGAAAGGTAAATGTTCTTTACATCAGAATTGCCCATGATGCTGATAATTAAATTTGTCTGTAGAACTTCCAATAAACGATATTTATCACCAGACCACATGTACATATTATTTGTTATGATGTTATTGTAAAATGTTATTGTAAAAGGACCTTGATCTACATATATATACACTTGTTCGAGCATTGCCTTAACCCCCACCTTCCATTCTTTTTCAAATTGGAACATAGTTTTTGTTTGCCTCTTTTCAAAAATATATGTTTAGAACTGCTGTATTTCATATCAGACGCTCTCAATGTTGTCAATCGAAATCCTAAATAATGGATTTGGTTTTCAAGTTTTAAAGCAATCCTCCAAAATTTCAAAACACAGACTTAAAGACCATCCTTGTTACTACCCACTCCGATAGTTTTCATTTCATGATTTTTTTTATCTGGTTAGAGTAATCTTGCATAGAAATAAATTCATTGTAGTAGGCCATCTTGAATCCCTCGAACATTTCATTATGAAGATTACGAACAGTAAGCATGTTCAAAAGTCCATTAAAGCAATGCAAATCAAGAGCAGAGCAAACACGGTACTTTTCCATTTAAATCTTCTTTTCTTTTTATCTATACGTACTCGTATTTGTCTTTAAACATTGAATTTAATGACATACCTCACGTTGCAAATGAAATAAATCAACTCAATGTTTATCTATCTAACAATGCAATTAGTCCAATGCCTTGAAACATTTTTCCACGAGCATATCGCAATGCATCCCACTCGACTCAATAATATCTTCGTGTGATAATGTGCTTAAAACACACGCGTCTTTATAAAATAGAGAACTTATTAATTTTAAAAAAAAGTCATTGTTAATCTTCTTCAAATTAAAAGACCTCTTTGAATGTTTTGATGTTTTGATTTGGTGTTTTTGATTTGTCTTCCTTTTTGGTTTTGTATTCTCATTCATTCAACCACCACAGTAAAAAATCTACTAAGAATAATCCCAGAAATACTTTTTAATATAGTCAGTATTGATTGATGCATGGATAGAGATTACGAGGCGAGAAGGGGTTAATCCCCGAAAATTTAGGGATTTTACATGGATTTCCGAAAGACTTTATAACTCTCATCATTGTTCTTTGCCAATCAATACCAGTACCTTCAGCTGTAAGATTCAATTTAAAAAGAACATTTTCTGAAGTTACAATTATTGCAATAAAATCTTCAGTCCCTAACATTTATCTCAATTTCAAATTAAATATTGCACTTTTATGCCAGAACACTTTCTAAGGTGTTTCCTGTCTTCATAATACTGGGTTTTAACGAAAGGTTCCCTTCTCGATTTGCTTCTAATCCATGGACATGATTCTCTGAACATTTTTTTAACGTTAAAAATGGAACAGAAATTCTATTGTTCCAACTATAGTAAAACAAATCAACATTTTTAGTGTATGCTTGGGTGAAAAATATATATCCCTCGGTTTACACGTTTATATCTAAATTATCATAATATAAAATTTTAATAATTGTGCATCATAAAGGTGCAGTTGTTTCAAAGAGATGTACGTAGGTAGCAGTTAAAACATCTGATTGATTAATTCTTAATTTCTTGACAGAGCAGAAACAGGATATTGAAAACGTTCGGTGACATGCAAAGAGGTTACTTCAGGATTTGTTCGTTTTGCAGCACACCTTTGATTAAGATGAATGTCAAGTAGAATTTTACCGAGCTGAACCAATATCTCAAATGTTGATAGAATCCAATCCATGGTAAAAATAGCACACCTTAAACATGGAGAAGATTAAAAGAAATCTTATTAGCGCCCAAAGACTGACGTAAGCAAATAATATTTAATAATTAAAAAAATTGAAATTGTTCTGTAGATATTTGATGTATGAAGAATACAAATGGACAAGACACAAAAATGAATGACTTTAATTTTGCAATGTCATTGTGTACGTTAATATAGCTAAAGGAAATGAACAGTTTGATCCGATTTTTTTTATCTCAGGAAATTAACATTACCACCATTCCAGTGTAAAAGTTCTGACCTTCCGGAAATTACACATTCTTGTTTGCATCTCTACCATAGGCAGGCTAAAAAAATTATTAATGTAGTTCACAATAAATTGATACAATCACTGTTGATGAGCATATGCTTACACAACCGGAAAGGATCAATGCTATTTTCGCAGAAATCAAATTTTTAGTTTTTTTTTTCATACAGTGGAGGAAAAAGCGAATGCAGGTGCTGCTAGACAAATAACTGACTCCATGCACAAATTAGCATAAATGATACTCTTTTTTAAATTTCTGCTTTATCATTTCTTTTAGCACATTAACAAATGCGTTCAATATGCGTTCAATGTCAAAAAAAAAAATAAATAAATAAATAAAAATAAAACGATGGATTAACAACGGAGGCATATTGAAGGATATAGAGATAACGAATAGTATTTAATATCAAAGTCCATAAAACAATACAAAGTAGGAGCAGAGAAAACACGGACCTCTAAAACATCAGAGGTGGGATCAGGTGCCATGGAGGAGTGAACATCCCCTGCCGACCGGTCACACCCGCCGTATGCTCATTGTCATGATCGGGAAATAACGGAAAAATTCGTCGTCAATTCAGTTTATAAATAATGGACTTACAATTAGTATGAAAAACATCAGTCAGCATGTGACTTAATGATAAATTGTATTTGCTGAAAAGGTCATTGTATCGACCAAAGAACTTGCGAAATGATGACTTTAACAGAGACTGCTAATATTCTTGTTTCATCAACTTGTTTATCAATAATTTACCTCGTTTTAGAAATTGTTCATACGTAGAGCATGCTCTTGCGTATCGGATCAACTGAGATATATAAACACCGTATGCTGGTGATGACGGTATATTCCTTAAAGTTATCACGTTTATCATAGAACTTGGTTGTTAGATTACCATTAACGTCTTTTTCAAGTAAAGAAGTGAAAGTGATATGTGTACGTACGTACGAGATTAAATTTTACATTTCTCGAGCTAACGAATATCAAGTCTACAAAGTACAACGAATTGTATTGATAATCTGTTTAGCTTTCAATTAACTCTTTTTGTGCCTCATCTAGCGTCAATTCAGTAAATGATTGTTTGTTTTGCACCGCAGTCTGTTGATTTTGTAATGGAGTCTATTAATTTTACTTTAAGCTGTTTGTATTGTAGTTCAGTATATTTTTTGTTTGATTAATTGTTCGACTGTATTAATTTTTTATACCCTCTTCGTCCTTATTAAACAGTCTCCCTTTAAACTGATTGATTGATTTTATATTGTTTAACATGACGTTGAAGAAAATTTCTCTCATACAGAGACGTGACCGGTAAATGTTTCAAAATTAAACCATGAACAATGTCTGAAACAATGAAAGCTACTTGTATTAGCAAAAAATTTATAAAATAGGAATATCAAAATTTTTGTTTAAAGTTATCATTTCACATGTACAAGTTCTTTGCCAGACACAATGACCATATCAGCAATTACAATCTATCATGAAGTCGAATTCTCACTGACGTTTTTCATGCTAATTTTTAGTTAGGCTTTTATTTACAATATGAGTTGTTAAAGAATTTTCCCGTTTGCCCGGTCATAACAAGGAGCATTACGGAGGAGTGACTGGTCCATAGAGGATGTTTAATGACTCCTCCTTGGCATCTGATCCCATCTCTGATGTTTTTAGAGATCTGTGTTTGCCCTGCTCCCGATTTTTTAAAAGGGCTTCTTGGCGAAATTACTGTTTGTTGTCTCAATCTTTTATGAAAAACAAACTAGACAATAATATTTTAAATATGTTAAAAAATACTGTTCGTTGCAAGCCATTTAAAGCAAATAACAACAACAACAAAAAAGAAAATACCGAAAAAAGTTTTAATTACAATTTTTACAGTTCGGTGTAACAATAGTTGTACATGAAACCTATTTGATCTGATTTCGGAAATGAAACCAGAAAAAATCAATTTGAAAAATAAGAAGAAAATATCTTCCGTGTTTTATAAGTGTCAAATTGCAGTTAATAAAGAAAATATAATTCCTCTGTATCACCGCACTGGCGTCATCTTGAAATGAAATCAATCTAGAAAATAAAACAAAGCAAAAAAGCGACAAAAACAGTGCTCATAAAGGTTAATGTGAAACTTACACACTGACAGGGCTACTCTTCACTATTTGTACTCAATTAGTTTTTTTTCTTCTCAAATTTGCAAAGAAATACGAGGTTGCTAAAAAGGTTGAAATTTGATAGTATGTTTCTCATTCTGATAAAGAAATTGCAAGTACATCAAGTATAGGTAACAAGCATCCATTTCATTTGGTGACAGAAACTTTTCTTTGTATGTATTGGTAGAGACACCAAAATTAATGACAGTATATCACGTGCTTCAATAGAGGAAATTTTATTTTTGAAATTTTAGATTATAGACTCTGAGATTATATTCATAAAGATAAACATGATAGAAAAATTACAGACTAAAACTACATATTTAAATTGAAAAATTCTGAATTTTTGTGCAAGACAATATTGTACAATGACATTTACTAAGAATAAAACGGTTATACCATCTGAATATTGCAATCAAGAAAACAAATTACATACAGTTATAATTATTTTATATAGAGTCACATGTTCTGTTTCGATATCCTTTTTTCAGACCGGGTGTGTTGAGATAGAGGACACATGTTTGTGACATTCAGTATTATTTCTCGTTGACTTTATTTCGTACAGGTCATGGACTAGCATTCAGGCTTAACCTAGAAGGAAATGTTTGCTGTGAATGTCTTTGAAAATCTATCAAAAACGAAATCCCACAAGGCGTTAAAATAATTGGTTTTTTCCATGAAAACACGAAAATTGATGGAAAATAACAGTTTTATTCAGTTACAGAATTTTATTTTATGATTTCCTTTCATACTTTTGCACCAAATAAATCAACGTAGTTTACAATTTCTGCACTCACGAATGTCTATATATGTTTTTCAGAGTTGAATAGTTCATAGTGTTATTAGAACGACTTTCAAAAATTGGATCCAAAGTCTTTTCTAAAGAGATTTGTTCTGCATTACTGACCGTTTTTGGTATTTATTATTTTAAAAATAAGAGATATCACTCATTCCTACTGAATAGGTACTATCACCCTCTCAAATACTAGAAGCTGGTATCACTTATCCGAATGAATGATAATTTCATCATCAATTTGAATAGGAGAGATATCGCCTTTTCGCTTCAATTGTTGATATCATCAATCCGAATTAATAAGCAATATCAACTACTATAGACGTGCTTTTTTTAATTTCCGCATGGGATTAATTTACGCTATGAACGCGGTCATAAAATTTTAGCGAAAATTTGTCACAGCATACTTAACGTATAATATATATTTTCTATGTATATCTATCCGTAATAGGTGCAAACAACGTCAAACATGCAAAGGTGTTCTAAGAATTCACAGATAAATCACTTTATTCTTTAAATTTAATGTTTTTGTAGCCTAAGTATGCTTACATAAAATTTTTACTCCAATGCCCACAATTCACTGCAGTTTTCAGATCCCTTTGTGTTTTATTTTGTAAATGATTGAATTGATCATTACCTGATTTAGTACAATTCTCTATCATCCTTGGACTTTCATTAAGGCGTGGCATTCTCGAAGCTACATAACTAGCCTCTCTAAAATTCTCATTGGTTTAGAAATTAATAACATCAAAAACTTTAAATTGTTGTTGACATGAAACATATGGAGATAACGAGTATTCAAGATCAAAAGTCCATAAAACAATACAAAAAAGAAGCAGAGCAAACACGGACCTCCAAAACATCAGAGGTGGGATCAGGAGTAAGCATCCCATGCCGACCGCCGTGTGCTCCTTGTCATAATCAGGAAATAACGGAAAAAATCGTCGTCAATTCAGTGTATAAATGATGGACTTACAATTAGTATGAAAAACGCCAGTCAGCATTTGACTCAATGATAAATTGTATTTGCTGACAAGGTTATTGTATCGACCATAGAACTTGCGAAATGATTACTTTAAACGAGACAGCTGAAATTCTTGTTCCATCAACTTGTTTGTCAATAATTTACCTCGTTTTAGAAATTGTTCATACGTAGAGCATGCTCGTGTGTATCGAATCAACTGAGATATATAAAGTTCGTATGTAGGTGATGAAGGTATATTGTTGCATAAGTGTTGCATAAGTAAGGGTAGTTGACGATAGAAAAGTTAAAGTCATCACGTTTATCATTGAGCTTGGTTGTTAGATTACCATTATCTTTTTCAAGTAAAATATGAAACAGAAGTGTCAGACTCTGTGGTATCTTTTATCTCAATCTCATTAGGATATATTGTGTTGACATGAGAATGGAAATTATCATATTAGTTAATTGACAATACGTCGTCGGTATATCTAAGTGTCGAATTGAAGGTCACAGCAAGTGTTTTCTTCTTTTCACGCATAAGATTTTGCACAAACTCTGTTTCATACAAATACAAAAATAGGTATGCTAATAACGGGGCGGAATTGGTACCCATTGGAATTCCAATAGATTGTTGGAAGACCTGGTCTCCAAAAACGACATCGATATTGTCAATCAGAAACTCAAGCATCATTTTGATGTCACCTTCAGAGTACTTATGTGTACAATCAGATTTTTTTAAACAAAATAATTTTGCAAATGATCGATGACAAGGTAAGTAAAGATTTACGAGTTCCATTTTTATTGAAAAAGCAGCTGTCAATGATTTAAAAAGGCGGACTTTAATCTATCATGGGTATTGTTTATGTGTAACGTTGAAAAGTCGTGAGTTTTTAAGCTGTTGATTTTAGTGAAACCTTTTGATTTCAAATTGTCCAAAAGTTCCTTTGAATTTTTAATTTTCCACATCTGATTTACACCACTTCTTGAATATATTGTTGCACAATACTCTTGAAGTTTCTCCTTCACTACTGTTAATATCTTAATGAGAAGTAAAGAAAGAGGCTTGGTTGAACATTTATTGGAACCCGCTATGTATCTTTGTAAGGATTCTTATAAAGTTTTGGAATCCAATATCCTTTTGGTTCTTTATATAAAAACTATATATAAACTAGATTTCCTTTGACCATAGACATATTTGGGCTGCCTTTTGTATTGAGTTATAGTCCACACCACAAACATACGCAATCAATGTGAAGTTATATAAATTTTTATTTAAAATCAGTTTTGCACTCTGAACTTATTTCTTCCAGATGTGTGTATAGTAAATGCATGCAAATCTTGGGAGCATTTGTTATTTTATAAATTATCGAAATCGGTGATGTCATCATTTCAAATTAATTAAATGATATCATATAATTACATTTTCTAAAAGGTGAAACCACGTTTTCCAATAGGTGATATCGCCTATTCGAATAAGTTGTAATACCTATTCAGTTAAATATTGTGTCTGATGATTACGATTAATATTATATCTTTAAGAACGAATAGTGGGCTCTTCTTTTTAATGTTGTCGAAATTAATTTTAATTAACATTGCAATTTCACTAAATCTGTTAATACAAACACTCTCAGAGGTAACATTTTAAAAAATAGTTGGATTGATTGATTGTATGTTGTTAACGTCCCTCTCGAGAATTTTTCACTCATATGGAGAGCTACAAATTTTGTCCTATACTCTGCACTCAGGGCCATTGAGCAGTGAGGGATCGTTTCGTGCCACACCTACTGTGACGGTGGACACGGGACCTCGGTTTATATGGTCTCATCCGAAGGACCGGTCTCCACGTCCCACAATGCTTAATATTGGCGTATGAAATGGAATATTTGGTCTTGGTCAGTTAATTAATATATGGTCAAGGTCATTTTATGGATAAAGTGAACTTAGCTCTCCGAATCTGACTGATGAAATTTTTCCGCATTGGGCTCCAATTTCTAGTCATTGTTGATGCTAATCTCAAGCATTGTACATTTATGAGCGATGAATAGTCATTTGGAATTGACCTATTTTCATCTATAAGAAGTCACTTGATTCTTTTGAAAGACTTAAGCGATTTACTAACAAGAAATTATTTTTGTCCTATTGTTATTATGTCGATATTATTTATCGTTTTATTTTCCATATCCCTTATTTCACATTTTTTGTTTTTTAATATTCATTTTTTAAAGGACCCTAGCTTCTTTTTCACAATTATTGAACTATTCGAATACTCTTCTAGTGCATACATTTAAGAAATTTCTTTGGCCTCGACATGCTGAATTTGTAAGTCTAAACTTTAAATTAAATAACAAATGCAAAAAATCAGTTAATATAGAAATGTGATTATTATCAATTCAAGGTTGCGACACAGAAGCATCACTTGGGAACAAGAAACCTAATGTTTGCTAGGAAGAGTACTTGATTGTGTCTCTCGAAAGGGAATTTGGATAGATTTACTGTAAATTGAGGAAATGTAAAACTATCGATAGCTGTGCCTAAATATTGATATCGCCTTGATACACGTGAAACAAGATCAGATTTTAATGATGAGTTCCTTCGAAGCCACCAGCCGTATTATATACGATATGAGGTACACACTCAACTAATTACAATTTTTGGTCCGCTTCTTCTGGGAAAATTTAAATTACAGATGAAGTGACGTTTATAAGAAATGTCAAGACGTAATTTATTTTCTGACCTAGTTAGCTAAACAAATCTGGGTTCCTGGATCAGCGGTGATTAAATGCATTCGGAATACCCTATAACTGATGTCTAATGCTATGGTCCTTTTTCTTGGCAGGTTGTCAAGATGCTGATCGTGGTCGTTGCCATGTTTGGAATCTGCTGGATGCCACTCCATATCTTAAATGTCATCTTAAACTTCCGGACTAAATCATCCAGCAGAGAGGGCGACACGATGGCCGCCATTTACATTTCAGCTCACTGGTTAGCCATGGCCAACAGTTTTGCCAACCCCATCATATACAGCTTTACAAACTCCATATTTCGGGTAATGACCTATCATAATTATTATAAGTTTAATTATCAAAATAGAGTATACAGCAACATGTATTTTACCTTATGTAATAAATAAATAGATATGAAATTGTTCAATAAAAATGAACAAATATTTTAAAACGTTTTTAAAAATATATTTAGCCATAAACAATATGGGTGGCCAGGGAAATATTGAAATTAATCAAACTAAAGGTTTTTTAAAAAATAGAAATTCAAAGCTGCATCCTCTAAATGGAAAGATAGGGAGCTGAATTAGAAGATTGAAATTTAGGAGAAAAATGTCTTAGGAGAAAAAAAAATCATACATCCTTGAAGTGAAAAATAAGGAAATAGGAGACAGAAACTAGGCTGGTGCATACACCAATCTATTCGTTTTACCAATAAACGTTTTGTAATTTTTTGAACCCAAAATCTCTTTGGAAGTAGAACTAAACAAAACGAAATGTAACCTAAAAGTACTATTTCAGTACTTGTGTGCCATAAATTAAAATGTTATCTGTGCCATAAATCTCTCTCAATGGAAAGAGAAAAATGACAAAAAATATATTTGAAATCGGTGCCATGCATATCGATTGCAATAGGTTTCTTCCTTTTTCCTCTCGTATAATTCATACAAATCCTTTTAGTGGAGACATGTTTGAATTATATCCATGTCTGGCATACTTTTTTCCTGACACTTGGTCAATAGAGCGAAGATTAAAAGACGCCCCAAGAGTACGTAGTGTCTGTTTAAATTCTGTAGTTGACGGACGTGAATTTACGATCCGAGTTATGCTTCTTCTTTCATTGCATCTGAACTCTGAGAACTATGCCGATGCCTTGTTAATGTTATCCATAGAAAATAGAATTCAATCAGAGACCTTGACAGGCAATTGATTCTTTGTTTTAATTGATGTTTACTTATTTGTCCTTAAAGTTAAAAGCGAATCATTTGGTTCTGGGTAATTAAGGAAACGATGAGATTGATTTTTATTTAATTGCTACTGTATAGTTAAAAAAATAACGCAATCACCATAAGGATATTGAATCGAGAAATAAATCAATTTGCCTCCTCTACCTTTTATACACAAGTGATAAAATAAATTAAACTTTATTAGAAGCTGGTAAGCAAACATTCCCTTTGAGTTATTTGTAGAGTAAGCTTGGCAGGCTAGAACCTGCGTATGATCTGATATTAAGAGAATCAAATGAAATTAATGCCTCTTATTGGGTGCATCCTGTTTTGTTATGGATACTGCAAGTAACTCACCAGACTTAAGCTTCTCTAGCACATTTACTTCTTAACACCCTTCCCCGCAGTCACGCATTTTAACGCATATACCATTTCCTATTTCTAACGCAAAATCACGCATTTACCGTTTCCCCGCAATCACGCATTTTCACGCACTTTAAAAAGTTCATTTAATCTTCAATTTATAGCCAAATTCCAACCATTTTATACTTGCTTGATCCTCATAAAATAAGAAAAGTTATTTTCTAATTAAAATATTATTTCAGAATATTATTTACGCTTAACTTTAGAGAAATGTGTACCACGCCATAAAGTGCTTGCGGGGAAATGGTAAAGTAATATTTCTATGACGCGAGGATTGCATAGCAATTCTGTAAGTTGTAAAGAGTTAATACATGTATAATAAACATTGATACGCCTGCATCAGATCAAATTGCATTCTTTAGACAATGTTTTATTGACAAATAAAAAACTTTGCTATAACCGAGTTTTCAGAGCAAGCTATTGAGAAGAAAAAAACCCTGTTAACTGATAGCTCATAAACACTGCTACTTCATACTATGTGAACATTTTTGTGGTCTTTGTTCATGCTCCTAGGATGCTAGCTTTAACCAAAATTGACAAAAGTGCAAGCCCTTAGAGAGTCAAACAATAGGAAGCAGAAAAAATGGTTATCTGGTTTAGCATGTCTGTTGTGATAAATCTTATTGGAAAAGTTTTATTTTTAATGACTTTCTCCCATTTTTTTTTCATTTTCAATGAACATGAGAACATTAGTCAATACTTTTAGTCTGACTTGAGTAGAATTTGCCACACAGAAAAAACATACTAAGATCTTTATTTTATTCTTTGCATTCTTATACGTTTTGGTAACTAAAAATATGACAGTTTTAAATTCCTTCAAAACATCCTTCTTATGTTTGGTCTAAATTCAAATCTTTTATACTTGACACATTGAGTAACTATGGAAGAATCGCTGTTCTTCTCATTGGTGTTGCCATAAGTACAGTTGTACTAAATTTCAAGTCCACGTGTTGCTTCTCTATTTCTTGAATATACAATCAAACTAGTAAAGCTATAGTCTAGTGAGAGACTTCTGGTTCAGTTATTTAGTATACGGATGCGTTTTTCAATCACATATAATTGTGAAAAATGACGAAAAAATTAATAATGGTTTTACTAACAATGAGTCAATAACAAAAAACAACGACGCACAATTTCACTGCTCATTAACACTTGTTCCGTTCCTCAACAACATCATGAACATGTCTTGGGTTTCCCGCCAATAAAGTAGGATTGGTGCATTAATCTTTTGTGGGATTTTACGAGAATTGGACTACCATTCCTGTGACACTTAAGATCGTACATCACCTTAATCCCAGGACATTTATCAATAAATACAATTCAATATAGAGATCTCTGCGAGCTACAGTTGATAATGTTCAATAATTAGCTGCATTGGTCCACAACCGTGCGTAATTCGTGGTGTCCGTTTACGAAGTGTAAAAGTTCAATTGTATCGGGATACCACAAGAATAGGGCAGTTCTAATGTATTGATGCACGAATGCTATTTATCCAGATTACACATAAAACGGGTAATGTCTGGCTAGAGAAAATGGAAAATAAATATAAATTTCTTTTTTACCATTGTTTTCTTTGATCCTTATGATAGATAAAATGAAGTCACGTATGAAAGTGACCTAGAGAGGAATGTCTTTCGTGTTTTTCCCGATTTTGAAGCGGATTGGTCCGACGCAATCAAGGCTAAGCAAGTGACTTCCTCGATCATTTGATTAATTGGGCTTTTGTTTTTTGCTGCAGTGGCATCAACCTTCAGGTACTTTCAAACTGGCTTCGTAAGCTCAATATTTCATAATTCAATGAAAGCACGGAGGATGTGCCGAAATACTTAGATGCAAAATTTACCAGTTTCATCTCAGTTAAAGTGTATAATGTTCTTTGTAATTAAAAACAATTTCTTTTAGTTTTAAAACTAACGTCTGCATAATGAAATCTTATAATTAAAATCCTGTTAGCAGTCAAATTTATACCTTTGACTTTTAAAATTAAAAAAACCCATCTCATTTGCGTTTTACTATCACTATCAATATGTACAGTGTCCACGTGTATATACAGGTTTATAAAAGAAGTAACCTTTATGAAAAACTTTAAATAGGACACATAAAAGAGTTTATGGAACTGGGTACATGAAATAAGGATAACGAACAACTTTCATCTCAAAAGTCTGAAACAACAGAATTCGGGAACAGAGCAATTATGTATGTTTAAGACATCAGAGGTGGGATCAGGTGTCATGGAAGAGTAAACATCCCCTATCGACCGGACACACCGCCGTGTGCTCATTGTCACGATCGGGCTTACAAAAAATCCGATCGCTATTCATTGAGTAAATAATGATCTAACAATCAGTATGAAAAACGTTAGTTACGTTCGAATTATGATATAATATTTACTTGCTGGCCTTTATCTCGATCATAAAACTTGAAAAATGATAACGCTAAATGAGACTGTCAATATCCTAATGTTTCATCTACTTGTTTGGGATTTTTTTTTCCTTTAGACATCCCTTTAGACATTGTTTTTATGTGGAGCATGCTCTTGTGTATCGAATTATTGTAACATCACATATTTTCGAGGGGTCAAATTTTCGTGGATTGAGGAATATATTTTGGTTCGTCGGGATTTGATTTCCTGGTTGAAGAATTGTTCAGTAGTAATATATTTGAAAAATTGCATTTCGTGGTGGACATAAATTCGATGGTCTCTTCATACCTTGAAAACCACAAAAATTAAACCCCATGGAAATAAATGCTTTCACAGTAACTGGGAGACATAAACCTAATACGAAGGTGATAAAGGTATTATGCTACACAAGTACATGTAAAGGAAGCTGACTTTAGGAAAAAAATGGATGTCGTCAAATTATCATAAAGATTTGTTGATAAATTATTCTTGACATCTTTTTTTCTAGAAGAACATCCAAACATGAAACAGATGAATCAGACCCTGTAGTATCTTTTATATCTACTGGGATATATCGAGTCGACATTGTAATATGAATAAAAGTATACTATCGTTAATTATGTTCCCCAAACGAAGTTTGGGAACATATTGTTTTTACTTTTTCTGAATTTTTTCTTTGTTCTCCGGTACTTTTTTTGTCCGCGAGTGTTCTCGTAAACTACTCATCCGATCTAGGTGAAACCTTTTTAGGGTCACTAGGTATGTTATGTAGATGTGCGGAACGAAGGTCATTTTGCGTGCACGTGCGTGCAGGTGCGCGCACGTGTAACACGTGAAATGACCGATATAATAGATTTAGCCGTAACTTTTTAAATATTGGATGAAATGCTTTGAAACTCATAATATAAGGATATAATAGTAGTATAGACATGTTGACATGGTCAAAATAGCAAGATCTCACGCGCATGCAGGTGCCCTTCGCTGCGATTGGCTGAAACTTAAAGTCTAAATATCTATTTTGTTTTCTGACTAAATCCTTTGAAATTTTGAACATAGTCTTACATTATGAAGATCTACAGCATGATATATAAGAATAATCATGAACGCACGCACATGCACGTGTGCTGCAATCTGATTGGCTAAAACTTTAAATGTCTACAACTTTCTTGGTTCTCAATAATACAGGGTGAAATTTCAAATATGAATAGATATAATGATTGCCTACATTATATTACTATCAAAAGTAAATACATGGACGTGCATGCACATGCGGCCGCACACAGACAGTATACTTGAGTGTTTGATGTTCATGCAGAATCAAGAACTTCTAAATGTCAAAACATGTAACATACTGAAGCATGCAGATCTTTTTACCCTTGACCTTGAAACGTAGGTCAAGGTCACTGGTAACCTGAATAAAATGTTGATATTAGCTATTTACCAAAATCACCTTGACCTATGAACTTGAAATCGACCTTAACCTTTGTCCTTGACCCAAGGGTAAAAAGAAACATGAAGTACATGTACATGTATCTAGAAACACCTTTCAGAGTTTATTTCGGTAAAAAGGTTAGAAGTTAAAGAGGTGGTGGTTTTTAATGACCTTGACCTTTCATCCAAATATCCCAATGAATCTTAAGTTCTTGGAATAAGATACAAGATTCTACTCCGACGTTAAATAGGTTAAGAATAAAAATACCCCCCCCACACACACACACACACAAACAAATCAAATTAATGGCAACGTAGAGAGTCACTGTTAAACTCAAATAACACCTCGGACCCACATAAAATTTCAGGAAAACTGCAGAAAAGAGCTCGAGGAAAGTGTATCAAAATATTTCATTTGAGTTTCCAAAGTATATAGAAATTTTTAATTTATACAGAAAAAATTACAAATCCTGTCGTGTTTAAAATTAAAGTGCAGATGACCAAACTTGGCATATAAGCCTTTTATAGCCTATTTATTCAGATGTCGTTAATAGCATTCGATTCTACTGATTTGAAATAATATTTTAATACCAAGCATCCTTTGTTTAATTTACCTTTGAAATTTATTTGAATTTTTTTTAGAATTACGCAATCCCCAAAAATAGCGATTTTCGGTATATTAAAAATCAATATACATGTACGCTCCTTCGTAAAATAATCAGATATTTGCATTCATGAAAAAAATATTAATAAGAAGGTGTTAAACAATATAGGTCACATTAGCTGACACGAATGTTTTTTAAACATCTCTTGTAAAACCCAGAGAGTAGCCCCCTATGCATTGGAAAAAATGAATAGTTCCGGTCAAAAAACCTTTATATATTTATTTACAAAGTATATAAAATTTACCAGGCACAGGTATCAGAGTTGTCAAAATGGCCTGAGAGGAAATATTAAAAAAATTCTGAACAGAAAGGAAAATCCCTTTTCCATGTATGGAACTACTATTGAATAAGTTCATTTTGATTGGTTAGGTATTGTTGTGATACCCTTAGTCGACTTTAACCCTGCCTTGTCGTCGGAATAAACCAACTTTGAGCCCGAGGTTAAAATAAGTAGAGAAATAAAATGTGAATTGATATATTAAAAATATGACTTATGCTTGAAAAATGGTAAATTTATATATGTATTTTTTTCTTTGATTCGCGGGATAGAAAGATATGTTAATTGCTTAATCAACATGCCATAATCATCTTGCATATGCATGTACATGTACGTGTGCGTGCATGCAAAACGTTAAACAATATATCGTTGATAGTTCATATCATTATCGGCCGCAGTAGCGACCGATCTATTTGTGGTTGTGTTAGAAAGTGCACATGGGGAAATGAGACGTTATTTTTCATTACTTCAGTAAAATAATTCTTGATTGATAAAAAGTAAAAGTCATGAGTAAAAATTTTTAAAAAAAAATTGCTTAAATATGAGCATTAATTGTTGTTATAATATTTTAATTTCATTATCATTTCTCGTAAGAAAATTGATAATTTATGGTTATATAAAAGAGTGTACAATAGATACTCTCCGGTCTGGGAGTGTGTAAGATACGAAAGGAAAACGCCATGATTTTCCGGAAAATGTTGACATGATGAAAGTGCATGGTGAATATCAACTCAGTTAAAATATTGTTTTGGATATGCTCTAAAGCTGCAAATAATGCAAAGATATTTTCCCTACATTTTGCACCGCGGCTTGCATGCAGCAGAGCCTTCTCTCCATAAGCCATGGGCATTACCACATGACAATGATCCAGGGTGTCAGCACTTGGGCTACATCATCATTTTCAATAAATTCTCATCATTCATCATTGACTTATTTTTTTAATTCGATGAATCAGTTTATGAGTAAATGCGGTAAAATGTCTATTTATTAATTTTTTTTTTTTAAATCACTTTGCTTTGAAGATAGGCTGAAAAAAAAGATTCAACTATTTCTCCTTTGAATATCTTGACGTGCTTTCCTTGCATGTGAAAGAATTTTTTAACTGCTAATTTGTTTGCGGCCGATTTGATGCTTTGCATCTATTTAACTTGTTGTAACTTTTATATTCTTAAATGAAATCTTGGGATACCTAGCATATTTATAAAAGGTCTTAGAGGAATAAGGCACGATAAGGGACATGGGGAGCGTTTGGGGAACATCTGTAACGGTACCCGTTACAATTAGCACTAGTTGATAATACGTTCTTCGATGTCGATTTGAAATCCACAGAAAGTGTTTTCTTCTTTTCTTGTACTAGTATTTGAGTGAATTCTGCATCATAGAAACACAGAAAGAGATTAATAATAACGGATCCCAATGGGTCCCTTGGGAACTTCAGCATAATTCCCATGGGACATCAAATCTTCAAAAATTGCATTATAGATATTGTCAATCAGAAAGTCAAAGTGTCTGCAACTCAATGAACTCTATGAGATATCGAATAATGAGTATCATACCTGTGAGGTAGTACTAGTTAATACCTGGAGCAATACTTTCGCATCATGAAAGAAAATCAAAGATAGAGCAATATAAATGAATAAGAAAATGATCAATTTTTGTGTGTGAAGATTCTCAACATCTTTACTTTGTAAATTTAATAATGAGAACAATACAACAGATCGGTTTCATTGTTTTTCAGCTAAAACTTGTTAATTGATCTGATCACTCTCAAAATCAAAGATTATGCATTTGAACTAATCGTTTATTATAGTGGATAATATCATCCTATATATAATGATCTTTTATCACTCTCATCGATAAAAGAAGATATTCAAAAACAGTATTTTACAATTTTTTTTTTTACATTTTTATCATTTAGATAGAAAACGTAAAAAAAAAATGTAAAATACTGTGATTCTGTTTTTGAAAAAAAATATCCTCAAACTGTATCTTTTCAATAGCTTTTAATGCAACCCCTCCACAAAGCCTGTTTTCTATTTTCATCATACGTAATTACATGTACACATTATACATGCTTTTCACGAACCCGTTTGTGTCATATATTTGCTTGATATTAATAATTAATAAATGATAATAAAAAAACTTAACTTTCACATCAGTAAAATTTGGAACATACGTAACAAAACGATTTTAGTCTGGAGTTCATCTTTTGGGGTCGCCCTATTTGACAGAAAAGCAGAGCCAGTAGTGCAGAAATGGACTTTTATGTGCTCTTAAATGCGGGCAATCATGAACAACTCAGTTCGTATGTACATGTACCTGAAGCACATTTGCAGCTCTGTTCTGCAGCCATGCTGTTGTCCACTGGAATATGGTCTTAATTGTTTGTTTTGCCCTTTTGGGTACTACCGAGAGGTTAGTGTTCTCCCCTATTTTAAATGTGTAGTCATTATTTTCGGTGCAAGGGATTAAATTGTTAGGGAGAAGAGCTGCAAGATCAATATACTGATCTTCCCATATCTTTTGCTTAAGCTTTTGTGGAATCATTGCCGAAATAGGAGTTGACCAAGTAGAAGTATCAATTGCCTCACTTGAGGCATATTCATCATCTGACCCCTCAATATCCTTAAAGGTAATCTCTGAGTCGGACTCACCGTCACTATCAGAAGCACCTCCCCCTTGGGTAGCAGTGGCTTTGTTCCTTTCATCGATTGCTTCCAACACGGCCTCGGTGATTTTCTTCACCAACACATCCTCCTTAGCTTCACTGTCTACCTCCTGTGCTTTTCTCGTCTTTGCTCTTGTGCCTGTAGTACTGTTTGAAACCTCTGTACTCTTTCTCTTGGCACCAGCTTTAGCCCTAGGCATTTTCCTGTAAAATACTTTGTAAGCAAAGCTCTACATGACAAATTAATAGATGGTCAGTCTGAAGTTTACCATTGAAAATGCAATGCTTGCAAAGGATTTAAAACATACTTAAATAGAAGCTTATGAATAAGATGATTTCATTACAATGATTATTGTGTTAATGTACTTATATCAATATTATAATATATATATATATGTGTCCACCTACATTCCATTTTATGTATTGTATCCTTCTCTCAAAATCACCCCTAAATGAGTCATAAATGTATGAAACTATCACAAGACAAAACTTTTAATTATGGACCTGACATCTAAGTCTCCTTGTGACACCGTAAGCAACAAAGCATAATATGCCTAATTCTACAAAGTAGAACTTGTCAAGTAACTCCACCCATACAGGCTATGTCAACTAACATGTCATACAAAACAACCTGACAATACTACCTAAGAGTGCAATCCAAGCCTTGCTAAATTATGTGCATTACCCAATCATGCAGAATACATGTATGCAAAATAAAAATGTCCAACCCTATATAACCTGATCATAAGTTCCCAAAAAAGGGGTAAATCTTAATATTAGTAATTATATAAAAACCTTATAAAATATATAAACTAAAATTTCTAAACATTCATATCAACATGAGCATAATGTGTGCTGACCGTACAGGGAAATTCTTGCTAAGTATGATGGACCGTACATATGTATCAATAAAATATCCAACCATATAGGACAACTCACATAACAACTATATAGAACTAATGAAGTGAAGTTCTGTCTTCAGTCCTACCGGATATATGACATTATGTTCAACCATTACATGCATCCCACCAATTTTAAATGTCTCAAACCAACCACACATATAGCCCAACAAAAACGAGCACCACGGCGCCCAACCACACTGGGATACATATAGTCCAACCATATAGGGCTATAACAACACAAAGGTGCCCAACCATAACCATATATGACATAAATGCCATAGCGCCCAACCATACTGGGATGCATATAGCTCAACCATATAGGGCTATAGTATATATTGCCCAACCATATAGGGCATAACAACATCATGGCGTCCAACCAATAACCATATATGACAGAAACACATGGAGCCCAACCATACTGGGATGCATATAGCTCAACCATATAGGGCTATAGTATATATTGCCCAACCATATAGGGCATAACAAAACCATGGTGCCCAAACATAACCATATATGACAGAAACACCATAGAGCCCAACCATACTGGGATGCATATAGCTCAACCATATAGGGCTATAGTATATATTGCCCAACCATATAGGGCATAACAACACCATGGTGCCCAAACATAACCATATATGACATAAAGCCCATCCATAATGGGATGCATATAGCTCAACCATATAGGGCATAACAACACCAAGGCGTCCAGCCAATAACCATATAGGACAGCACACCATGGAGCCCAACCATACTGGGATGCATATAGCTCAACCATATAGGGCATAACAACACCATGGTGCCCAACCATACATGGAAACATATAGCTTAACCATATAGAGCTACAGCACTGATAGCCCAACCATGACGGGTAACATTTCATATAATATACTTTGGGAATACCTGTTTAAAATAACCCATGAAACTTTCATGAATCGAATCCTATGGTAAACAATGAAAAACATGGTAATCGACTGACGTAACATTTACCAGGTGAACAACCAATGACATAAAACCTAAGAGTTGTAGATAAACCTATGTCATTTAATCGCACTTCCTGACATCCCAAGTTCCCTGATAAAACAATGCACAAGCAACCCCATTTTACCATAACAGTGTAATTTGTATTCAATTTTATAAAACCACTTGTAGGCTTTTAAGTGCTGAAACAACTGAGGCCCTAACACTATTGTAATATTTTGGGTACCCGTATGTTTCATTTAGGTGCACACCATCTTCACAGTATACTATTTCTTTATTTTCCTGTGACCAAAATCCTGAGTGCCTCCAGAATCTGACACCCGAGCCAAAGTCTCTTCCTAACCTATCATTCAAAAGCCTATTAACCACATCTACCCTGGCATTGAACCACTCAACGTCTACTGAAAATCTGCCAGGTTTCCCTGGTGGTTTTCTATGAAGAATTTGATAAACACATACCCTCTGCACTCCACGACCCCGGAGCTTATCGGTGAACGAAACTATTTTTTCAACCAGATCGTAAACTTCAACATCTAAGTTACACAAATCGTTCGAACCTATCTGCAGACACACTACAGCTGGTTTAAATCTATCAACCTCTCTTAAGCCTCTAACTGATATTCTATCGATTGTACAACCCGAATATCCTCTGCAAAAAACTTTCTGTTGTAGATCCAGATTAACATGTAACTGCTCAGAACGATTCATAAACCGCTGTAAACGAACAATGAATGAATGCCCGAGAATCAAGACACTATCCTGCATGATTTATACAATTATGAATACTCACAACACAATGTAAAACTTCTAAAATTTTCAAACCACGTTTTTTGGAGCCAAGCGGAATTATGAATATGGGTTAGGCTAATAGCCGTAAATAGAGGGCGCTTGGAAACTATAACCCGGAAAAACCCCTCAAGACCCAAACATTCATACACATTATTAGTAAATCAAAATACAAAAACCTTTGAGCATTTAGATCCCATAAATTCCTTTATATACATAAATACACTTATTTCATTACGTTGATGTGTTCTTAAATAAGGAAGCCCAAGCGAAGTTCTTTTTACACCTAAATGTTGAAAAAAAAAACAACTTTTTTATACCCCCGCAAACGAAGTTTAGAGGGGTATATTGGAATCAGCATGTCCGTCTGTCTGTCCAGCTGTCCGTCCGTCTGTAGACAAGATTTTGTCCGGACCTTTTCTCAGAAACTATTGGATGGATTTGTCTGAAAATTTGTACACTTATTATTCACCATATGAAGTTGTGCACCTGGTATTTTCATCATGATTGGGTAATTTTCTGCATTTTACAGGTGTTTTTTCTTTTTTATTTTATGGTTTTGTTTGGCTCATAGCTAGAAAACTATTAGACTGACAATCATCAAACTTGGACAGTTTATGCATCTTGGGTAGAAGGTGTGTCTCGACCTATTTTAAGGTCACCGTGACCTTTAATTTAAGTGAAATTTTAAAAAGAAACCTGTCTTTTACTATTGAATTACACAATCCCAAAAATGTAAGAGTGTTTCTGTATCCCTGTTTAAAAAATGTTAAATTAAGAATATAATATTTTTACATTATATACTTTACAGCAATCCATATCAAATGTTATTTTATAAGAGATAATCTACCTCTCCCAAGAGTATAATTATCAAGCACTGGTCAAGGAGAATTTTGATAACAGAAAATTGCATCCCTTGGCATTTATCAGTGGACATGCATCCAGTCAAAGATTAATTAATGAGTTCAGTGTAGGAAAGCTAGCTGTCTTAATCATTTCTGTTAGCTGTTATCTCTGATTAAGGTCCTTTGGGAATTAGACAGAGGAACTGCTGGTCAGTTTAAATAGCATATGTCAATTGATGGCCAGCCTTCTATTTCTAAAATCAATTTGTTATAGATGAAGTTTTTAATACTAGTTAGTTAAATTGATATATTAAAAAAAAATTAAAATATCAAGTAACAAATTTCAGAGCATCATGTCCCACATGAAAGATATATGTATATGTATTTGTTTGTGGGGGAGGAGCATTTGTCAAGCTATAATGCAACAATTTGATGATTATTTGTTATGATTAATGCTTACACCACAGGAAATGTTTAAACAAATATCAAAAGGAATAAAAAAAAATTATGGAAATCCTTTTAAAGGTTGCCATGATTTCCTCACACTCTTTATATTAATTGGATGAACAATATTTGGCTGGAGTATCATGCTGTGTTGGGCACTTTATTATTTTTAAAATGAATTTGATATAAAGTTATAAAGATTAATTTGATTCTGTATAATATTTCTTTTTTCAACAATTATTTTTCAGAGTAGCATGACAAATAATTGCAATTTCTTTTTTTAATGAAATTTAAAAAAAAAACTGTTACAGTGTATTAGTATTGATGTTTTATTTGGTTGCACCTTAGATTCATAAATTGAAAAAAATCAATGAGCATGCAATTATATTTTCACCCGATTTGTTTTAAGACAATAGTGAACACCTCTTAAAGATCCATAAAATATTTGTGAATTGGCACCTACTCTGAAAAAACACAGCGGGGGTATTTGTCCCTATTGGACAGTTCTAGTTTTGCTTAGAGTGACAACAATAAATTCTTCCAAAAAAGTAAAATTTATTACGGTAACTTTTCTTAAATTGAGTAACTTGATAAATTTCAAATAATGGTCAAATTAAATAAGTATTCGACTTTATGAAGATTTTTGTTCCTTGTGTACATAAAATGTATGTACATTACATGTCAACGTTGATGTAATAAAAGTTCCTTCCACAGTAATTGATCCTTAGTAATAATTTCCCCTCGGTGCTATAAGTGATGGCAAAAATCTTTGCTTCCTTGTCTATTGTTTTGCACGACTGTTTTCTATAGAGTTGTAACATAATCTAAATATCCACCTTTGTATTCAGTAAAAGAGGTAAATATGATTAAATCAGGAGTTACAAACCACAATGTGTGAATTTACAGCGATAAACAGTATTAACAATCGATAAAAAAACCTTTTTTTTCTCAAAAATGGTATGCGAAAAATTAAAGGAAATATAGAAAAGTTTTGATTAGCATGTAGAATCTCCGATAACTTGTTATTTACCTATAAAACTTCTATCGATTAAAAACTCACTGTCTTCATTTTTTGGGAAGGGACTAGATACTTTGAAAGATATACCTTATCATCAAATTAAGATATTTAAATATTTCAATCTTTATTCTTTGTTATCTCTTTTGAACATTTTTGAACATTACAAATTCTCCACCTCCCATTCATTTTGCAATCATTTAAGATTAGAAACTTTATGCAAAGTGCGTAGAGCAAAGTTGTTTTCTGAATAATTCGTGATTACATTTGGAAAATGACCTTGTGTTAATTATATTGAAAAATTCTCTTTTTAAATTTTTTTTTTTATAAAGAAAATGATAGAAGTTATATTTCTTTCTTTTAAAACGAAAAGTCAAGTTGTAATGTGATCAGTCCATTCTAAATCTAAAAAGCATTGAGATCATTGCTCTCCAATCTTTTTTTTTTTTTTGGAAAAAAAGCCCTTTTTAATAAGAAAAAAATAAAACGATAAAAGATTCATCTAAGTTAAGGGAAGATATATTTTGACTTTGATGAAAAATGAGTTAAGGGATTTCCACAAACAGTTCATGTAAAGCAATTTATGATAAAGGGGGCGTTTTTAATTTTTTTTACTTAAGGACAATTGGGAAACCATATCATATAATCTATGTATCTGATTTCCCCAAAGCCGTGTTATTTTGTCGTCTCTTCGCATTACACTGAAATAATCTATATACCGTTTGAATTTATATTTGACATTATGAAGAAACCACATGAAAGAGTATCAGGAGTTCTATTTACAAATGCATATAGAACTGTACCCCTTACACCGTATATCCTTATAAGAGTAGGCACAAGATCAGAATCTTGCCTCATTATAGGAATGTTGTAGGCAGAAGGATTATGGGTACATCTTTTATCCGGAATGCAGACATTTTGACTTTGATGGCAAACAAATAATCTGTCAAATTTATATGGAGAAACAAACAATATCCAAACTCAAAAGTCCATTAAACAATATAAATTTTGGAGCAGAGCAAACACGGACCTCTACAACATCAGAGGTGGGATCATGTACCATGAAGGAATGATCATCCCCTGCAGATCGGTAACACCCGTCGTGAGCTCCTTGTCATGATCAGAAAAATCCGTCGGCAATTCAGATTGAAATAATCGCCTAACAATTAGTTTGAAAATCTTACGTCAGCAAATAATTTAATGATAGATTAAATTTGCTGACAAGATCATTGTATCGACCATAGACATTATGAAATGATGACTTTAACCAGAGCTGTTGATATTCTTTTTCATCAACGTGTTTGACAGTTATTTACCTCGTTTTTGAAATTGTTCATACGTTGAGCACGCTCTTGTGTATCGAATCAACATAAACCCAGTATGCAGGTGATGAAGGTATATTACTCTAAGTATAGGGAAGTTTACGATTGAAAAGCTAGTCATCGTGTTTATCATAAAACTTGGTTGTTACCATTAAAGTCTTTTTCTCGTAAAATATCCAAATAAGCTGGGATATATCGTATCGACATAAGAATGAAAATAAACATTGTTAATTGACAATATCTCGTCGATAAATCTAAATGTCGAGTTGAAGGCCACAGCAAGTGTTTCCTTCTCTTTATGTAAAGTGTATAAGATTTTTAAAAATTCTGCTTCATATGAATACAAAAATAGGTCTGCTAATAACAGGGCGAAATTGGTATATGTACCCATTGGAATGCCAATAGATTGTTGGAAGACCAGGAGCCCACTTTACAAAAGAACTTACGACTTAGATAAAAAAAAAAACTTAAATTTTTTGTAAAAAAAGAAATTTTAAAATTGTTGATCCTGAATGAAAATGCTGGTAAAAACATTTTGTAAAATTCTTTTTAAAGAGATCAAAACCATTTTCAAATTAAAGTAAAATAGCTATAAATAAGCAGACTTAATTTTTTCTTAATCGTAAGTTCCTTTGCAAAATGGGTCCCTGGTCTCCATAAATCATATACATGTAAATATTGTATGTGCTAATAAATTAAACGCGATATATAGTGTAGACAAGGAACACTAAGTCTAGTTTTTTCCGTATTTTAAGCTTTTGTTGATATAAAAAAAAAAAAAATAAAATCAAAGAATCAATGATATTAGAGACTGTTTTTATATAAAAAGACACTTCGTTTATAAAAGAGGAATATAACCAGTAAGCTAAAAATCAAATCTTATTTTTGTCCAGGATCTCAACAAAATTAACTACAAAGAAAAAAAATCATACACATTTGAAGTTGTATTTCTTTTGGTACATGTATCTACTTAATTTAGAATGGACGAGTGTTGGTGATTACATCATGTTAGGTACACGAATACTAGATAACACAAGTCATTGCCTACGCCAATAATCTGCATTTTTCCTCCAAGGACGAATTATCAAAGACAGGGATTTTGAAACTATATCAATTCTACAGCTGATCTGTATTCTGTAAATCATTATACTTAGATCAATGGATGGTTTGCTGAAAGATTGTTTTGATTTCTAAATGTATACAGAACAATGACCTTCTATGATTGTAACAAATTGGCTCTATCGTGGAAATTTCCGATTCCCCTTCAGTTAAAGCACCATCTTCCATCTACTGTGGAGATTTATCGCTTTGTGCGTTAGATGAATTTTGATGAGGCATCTCATAGAATTTTCAAACACCCTGACATATGTCGCGAACCCAGGGGACGACGGGTTCTTTACATTTGATAAAACAACATATTAAAATGCTTAAAATATGCACAGCTTTCAGGAGGAATTCCATTATAGTTATTGAGCTTAGGAAAATAATTCAAATGCACCAGAATGCACCAGATAACTAATAACCAAATATTCCTCAGATCATTAATAGAAGCAGTATATTGCAGGCTTTGAACTGAGATAAAACGCATAAAAAAGAGTTCTGAAAATTGCCGTAAATTATATTGCTAATTAAGTTTTTGAATGTCTCGATTTTTTTCAATGAAAATGTGAGTAATGCCCGCCTTTTTTAATTCATTGCAGAACGATCTCGTTGCTCTCCTGTATTCCTGCTTCCCCTGTTGTTGCTGCTGTCTACGGAGTTATCTCCCCTACCGGAACCCAAGGTTCGGCCACGTGACAACACGCTATGCCTGTGTTTCCAAGTCATCTCCATATAATTCCAATCGTTCCTGGGCAGTGTCGTTTAGATCATATCAAAATAGCAGTCTGAGTTCACGGAGGACTCGGTTAAGCAGTTCACTCAGACAGACACGTCTCAGTATTAATTCCAGCAAATCTACCCCAAGTCTTAGAAGCAGTAGGACTCTTTCAAAACGCAATAATAATTTTATGTAATTGCTCTTCATATATTCTGTTATTAAAAAAAGGTCCATGTATATAAAAATAAATTATAAGACATTGTTTAACATGTGTTTAAAAGAATTGAAAGACGGGCGTATATTTTGTAATCAGTTAAATGAGGATATAAATAAAAGTGAGAGTAGAGTTGTAAATTGAGATGGCATTTAAAAGAAAAGTAAGTAGGAGAGGTTCATTATTCCTTGTATGGTACAGTCAATTTTGTCTCCTGCTTTTGCGAAAGCAAAGAGATATTAAATTTCATTCGTCTGTCTAGCTGTCCGTATATCTGTCACAACAACTTAAACCTTAATTGGTCATTACTTTTGAATGAGAAAAGATAGGGATCTCATGTTTTCACATGTACATTGCCTATGAAATGACTTTTCAAAAAATAATATGTTTTGCCCCTTAGCCTTGACTCCGAAGATTTAACTGTTACAACAGGAATTAAATAATTGCATCCCAACCAATACGATACTGAAAGCGATCGGAGGGAGGCACAGTTCTTTGAATTTGCTTGTAAACCAAATTTTTGCTACGGTATTAAAATCTAAGGCAAAAGGTCTAGACGCATCCTCCACTTTCACCCCGGTTGAATCCAATCTTGTTGGACTAAAATTCAAATAAAACGGTCGTATACTCCGCTTAGTTGATATGAAATGCAACTGGTGAAAGTGATATACATGACCTTTATCTGTTTAATTACAAGTAGAAAAGGAGAAAATACGATGAAAAATATGGAGGAAATGCACAAATCAGATATTAAGTAAAAAAGAAAATTAGTTGATCTGAATTTATCATAAACTTTTGATTCTATGAACAATTTTGTTTAAGTTTTGTTTCATTATGCATAAACAGCACGTCCTATAAAAAATACAAATACAACTGTTCTTGTTTTCACCTTTTTATTATATTTATTTCAAAAAGGAGGATTGAAAGACAGGTCGTTTATTTTAAAATCAGTTAAATGATGACATTAAAAAGGGAAAGTTAGTAGGAAACGTCCACTTTTCCTTGATGGCACAATTATTTTGCCTCCCGCTTTCGCAAAAGCAAAGAAACATTGGATTTCATTCGTCTGTCTACATGTAGCTGTCTGTCACAACTTTAACCTTGGTCATAACTTTTGAATGAGAAAAGATAGTGCTCTCATATTTCACATGTACATTACCCACTGACATGACTCTTCAAAAAAAATTCTTTGAACTTGCTTGTAAACCACCATTTAAAAAAAAATATTTCATTAATATCTAGGGCAAAGGGTCTAGACGCCTCCCCACTTTCACACCGGTCGAATCCAATCTCGTTGGTCTAAAAATCAAATAAACAGGTCGTATACTCCGCTTAGTTGATATGAAATGCAACTGATGAAAGTAAATAACATGACCTTTATCTGCTCAATTATAATGAAAAAAGGAGAAAAATATGAATATGAAGGAAATGCACAAATCAGATGAATAAGAGATTAGATGTTCTGAATTTATCATAAACTTTTGATTCAATGAACAATTTTGTTCAAGTTTGTATATTACAAAAGCGATAGCTTTTAATTGTTTTGGTATTTTTACATGCTTTTAAGAAGATAGAAAAAAAACCCAAGAAATTTAATATCCTTCTTTTACTCAAGAAAATGTTAAACTGTTTGCTACTCTATCACTTCAAAAGACAAAACGAAATTTTTTTTCAAAAACAATCAAACAAAACGCTAAAACAAAAGAGAAGTCATAACAAATCCAATAAAGAAATAAACTAACAAAACAAACTTTAAAAATGCCATGGAAAAGCATGCATCGATATATAATTTCCATTGCAAGTCAAGCTCGCATGTTTTTTATTTCTCTTGTGTTCAGTAGCCAAATATCCTTACAGGAGGAGCGCGCGTCACGGCAGAACCAAAACTATTGACAGAACACCTCTGCTCCGAAGCTGGTAGTACCTTACAGCACGAACAATGAGCATAATTAGTATCGTTTACCCTCTGATGGATAAATCACACATTTAACTACGGGGAGGAATTCCTGCAGATGAGGAAAGCGTTCGCCTCCCCTCTCCTGCAGATCCGGTGGTCTCGACTACCACAGATAGCTGAATCACGTCACGTGATCGATGGTTGCACTGGTCAGTGATTATAGCTTTGGGTTTAAATGACAGCACTAAATTTTTCAGTCGCTCCTACTGGCTTATATATCTCTAGTAATTGTTAATCAGGAATTAGAGGAATATCTATTTCCCAGTATTCACGAGATTAAGTTTATACTCTCCGGAGAATCGTTCCATACAGTCAAAGGCTTTAGTTATGAGGAATCGCGAAAACAGAAAGGTGTAATATCTAGTGGGATTTTAACTTAATGGAAATATTTAATACTTCAGATATGGAATCAACTCCGAGTGCTAATTTATCAGAAGTTTCTTCTACAGTTATTTCTCTGTCTTGTCATGAAGGAATTATGAATTTGACAAAAATCTGTAACGATTCTCGGAACGCGACTTTCTCTTCCAAAGGAGACGAATTATCAACAAGTGCTTTAATAGGATTAATATTCTTATATTCTATCACAACTTTTCTCTCATTGGCTGGAAATATTTTGGTGGTGCTAGTTTTCGTAAAAGGACGTAGATCACGGACGGATCTGAGGCTTTTTCTAATCAACCTGGCAGTTTCTGATTTGATTATGGCTGCTTTCTGTATGCCGTTCACCTTTGCAGACAGCATTATGGGGTATTGGGTATTTACAGCACCCCTGTGTCCAATTGTGTTATTTTTTCAAATTTTTTCCGTTTGTGGAAGTGTTTTTACGAACGTAGCTATAGGAATTGATAGGTTTATGGCCGTTTCGTTTCCATTGCATTCCAGAATTACATACAGACGTGGAAAATATGTAATTGCATTAGTTTGGGTATGCGCGTTTTCACTTTCGGTCGTGCAACTTTTTGTAGGTCGGTCAACGGTCTACAATGGGCGAGTGATATGTAATGAGGATTGGCCCAACCCCGAATCCCGGCCACTGTACACTTTGTTTATTATGATTCTGACATATATGTTACCCCTCATTATTCTTCTGTTGACTTACTCTATAGTTGGAATAATGCTTTGGAAGAGGACAGCCCCTGGAAATAAACATTATGAAAGAGATAGACACCAACTTCGATCAAAAATAAAGGTAATAGTAAATCCATTAGATTTCGTGTTTATCAAAAGAATAACATAATACTAACTTTTGGGATGTTGGTTGGGCCCAGTATAAATCCACAAATACATATAGTCTTTCCTGCTAAGTAAACCTATTCGTATTGTACAAATTATAGGTATGGAATCTGCATTTTTTCTTCATATTGTCATCAGTATACTTCTTTCACTCTACAAGATTAAAAAAGCAAACTTTTGATGGACTCCAAGTCATATTTTTAAATTATCCTAAGACTGCTACATACAGTGCTGCAAAATCGTCACTTCAAAACTGGTATTGAATTGCACTATTTAATTTGATTTGAAATATTTGATTAAATTTACAAAAATTCCTTTTGGCAAATTTTATTGGAAAATGTGTGATACATATAAATTTAATGCTAAAATAATTTTTTTTGAGAATCTGACCATTAAAACAATATAGATGTACATAATTACATGTACATAACATTTTGAATACGTGTGAACATATATTTTAAATTTTTTTTTTACATTTGTAAAATTTAAGTCCATCGGATCGGATGGTGCCTTGTATTAAGCAATTCCCTTTGCAAACTATAGATCATTTCTCTGGGTTTTGAAAAAGAGTAAGATCTTGGTTCATGGTAGTCGTAAAACCCTTGTGTTTGCATTTCGCAGGAAAATTTATTATGACATGCATCGTTCAATTTTGTTTGAAGTTGGGTATGGCCAGCGGCAGGAATCCATGTAAAGCCTTTCATATTCAAGTGTTAATCACCAAGACCATCTTATACCAGAGGAACGGTTTTAATCATGACTGTATTCAATGTACTTAAGCCACAGAAAAAAAATAAACAGAATTATGTCATTTGCATTTTTAAAAGATAGATATTTATTTCTTTGGTTAAATTTCACTTGGAATAAAATTCCACTGGGTACGTATTTTTTAGCTTTTATAAGACGAAGGAATATTTTCACTGCGGGATGAATTGTGATTGAAAATTTTGATCTAAGACTGCTGAAAATAAAAACAACGTTAAAGCTAAAACTATTTACAATCGATTAAATTGATAAAATCTCACATTAAGCCGAATTTCAAAGATATAATATTGTAAAGAATACAGCTCAACACTCCCTACGTACATGAAGAATAACGGTTTTATTTCTATAGATTCGTCTACAGCATGTCTGTAAAGAATAAATCCATACTCATAAATTATATAAAAAGATAATTCAGGACATTAAACTAATATCATTTTTTTCAATTGTCGCCATTTTGAAATGCCGTTCTTTAAAAAAAGAGGTGCTATTGAGTTTTCTTCACAAAAGTACGTATTATATATCGCGCATTAAAAATAACTTCGTTCTAATTTGTATATTGCCTTTTCACTAAAATATTATGAGATAGTTATATTTTAATTATGCAAGAACAACTTAAAACACATTTGACATGAAGTGCATATATCTCAGAAAACACAACGTTTTCATCATAATTACTTAAAAATTTGTTACTTAGCGAATAAGTTCACCTAAAACTTGGTTCCAATGAAACCCCATAAAGCATTTCTACGCCTGTGAATGCAGGCGTTGCCTGTTGGTAATGGAGTTATAGGCTTGACACGTTAGGGTACAAATTCATAACAATCCATATCTATATATATTTTTTTCAAGAGGCTGGCAGAAAGTAACCCATTGGTATTCTTTTTATGCTAAGTACGTCAAGTTTCATTCTCTTTGCGAGGAATAATTTTTGCTGATGTTCAGTATATTTTTAGAAAATACTTTAGGATGAATTCAATGGGTAAAGAGCACATTAAAAGCTTAATTAGTGGGTTCTTAAAGCGTGTGAATGATTTATATATGCGACTTATCGATGCATTTTTAATATCTGGAATTGCCTATTCTTTCCATTTATATCTATCGTCTAATTGAATTGCTGAAGCATGAAAAATTGATATTCTTCAAGTAAATGCATGTAACTTTAACAAGTGTCATTAAGAGAAATGGTCAAACTTTTTGAGAAGAAATCGAATATAAGCGTAAAGAAATCAAATACAAAACTGCACATCATTAAATTCTTCCCACAATTTTGCAATAAAATCGTTTTGTTTTGGACAGATTTTTATAAGAAAATTAACGATGTGATTGAATTGCTACGAGTTAAAATTTTGCTTCATTTAATTCTACGGATTGCTGAAAAAAATACTACATACAATGGTCATTTCAATAGACCAACTGCATCAAATCACAGTCAGAGGGACATTCACCTTTGATTCTGCAAAATAAATTTTCGAAAATTCCGTCAGATAAATCATGCCAAAAGTAAAGCAGAAGTAAATCTACATTTGTTTTCAAAATCTTGACAGTTTTACAGCGTTAGATATCATAAAAATAATGGATTTTGTATGTACATGTACTTGTTTTTGAATAGTGAAAATCAAATTTTTCACTCATAGAAGGTGTCAAAGACTATATTAACAATATATTAATGCCATTCAACTTTATCTTTCGAATTGATTAAAAAATTTCCTAAAAATAATTTTGTTTTCAAAACCTCGCGACGTTTTGATTTTGGCAATCATATGCTTATCTAATCCGTGCTAAAATCCCAAACCTTTCACAAATCGATGTATTTGTACATATGTAACTTCATTCACATGTTGTCACTCTTGCTACTACTTAAAAATATAGATATTATTTTAAATTCTAGGAAATTTAAGTTTGTAAAACAGCAAGATATAAATTATTGAAAAGTACACCATGCAAGAAATATTTGACACCTACTAGAGAATGCAATTCAACTTTCGATATGTCATTCATATACTAAGCACTTTAGCGGGGCAGAGGTAGTGCGCGGAGTATTTGTATTATGATTGCAAATAATACTGCTTTTGTTTCTTGATGTTCATCACATTAGTGTACTAGTGTTCCAAGATTTCCATCACAAAACTGGAACCCTCCCAAACATGTAAAGCCTCTGTCGTCTTGTTGATGTACTCGCGATACGCTTGTCACTGCTGTTTTGAGTTGTACTGTTATTTGGCCGTCCTGTTGATGTGTTCGCGATACGCTATAGTTGTCACTTCTGTTTTGTTGTACTGTTGTCTGACCAAGAGGAACAGCGACAACAATGATGTCAAGGCTCTTGCTTTCTAAAATTTGCAGTGACAGCAAATGAATCATGATGTACATATCACAGGGACCAGACGCATTGTACGACATCACAAAACGATTAGCAATACATTTCGGACATTAAAAAATATTACCAAAGCCATTAAATTTCTTTGAGAAAATCACATTATAAATATTACCAGGGTCTATGCATGAATTAAAAAAGAAATGCACATGAGTGTAAGTTATCATGTGGATAGCAATAGAAAATATTATACTAGGCTATGAGATCATTCGAAAATGTGATATCTATTCGAAATACTGAATTCATTCTTTATAATTATAATAATTATAAATTATTCAAGATCAAAAGTCCATTTAACAACAAAAAGTAAAAGCAGAGCAAACACGGACCTCTAAAACATCAGAGGTCGGATCAGGTGCCATTAATTAATGATATATAAATGATACAAGTATTACCTATTTATACATACAATAACACGTTCATTTTGAATATACTATGTAACTAAATAAATTGCAATTATATCACTTATTCAAAGGGTGGTATCACCTCGATTAATTTTTTATGGTGATATCATCAGTTTGGAGAGTGATATATCTTAACAATAGATACCAAAAAACATCGCCCTACAAGAAGCGAAGTAAGCAATGGATACTCTCTATTTCTCTCTCTCTCAAATTAAAAAAACAGATTAATTTTATCAGTATGCAAATCTTATCCAGGTCCCTACCGATTTTCTTCCACAGTCCGAACACAGGAGGTCATGTACAAAATTTGTAAGACAGAGAAAACAAAGGTAAAAAAAATCCATTCACAACGAATACATGTACTTTTATGTATCAAGAAAGTCAAGCTTTCTTTATAACAGTATCTTGAAGCCCTTGCTTCGTTTAAATCAATTAGCTTTTGATAAAGTAAAAAAAAGCAGCTTAGAACATATGTACCTATGATAAAAGACCATTTCAAATAAACTAAGCTTCAGCATAAATGTTTATTTATTTAAAATGGTACTAATTAAGTCTCTTATTCCTTAACATAGAGAAGGAAAAAGAAGTTTTGCATTTACCTCTCAGCTTAAGTAGGTGTATGCTGCAAAGGTTAACTTACAAATTCCCTTCCTACATTTCAGTGTTAATTGACTAGATTTCTCGTTTACTAAAATATCACAAAACGCGATAATTGGCAGTTTTAACAGATGGTTTACTTTTGAGAGGTGTCTAGAATGTCAAACTGTCTCGATCGACAAGACGAAACTGCTCGAACACCATACACATGATACACGTAAGCTAAAGCAAAATGACTAAAACTTAAAGTAACAGAACGTGAGCCATTATAAAAAAGTCAATCAAGATTTTGCATTTTTTTTTTCATTTAAGACAACATACATTATGATCAATACAGAACCTTTCATCAAGTTATGATAGAAATGGAGGATTGTAGGGCTCTTCTTGATGCATCAGAGGAATTGAAGAAAAAGATATTGATTCTTTAGTCGAAATCAATGAACTTTATTCTCTTTAACCGAAAGAGTTCTCCCTGATTTATTGTAAGGCTTCTTCTTAATTGACAGTGTGTTTGAAAAATCACTTCTCGTTAAACAGTAGTTACTACATAAAATCCAAAATTACGACGTTAAACAAATCCATATGACGTTACCATCAAATGGACGATCAGTTTAAGTTAAATACTGAAACAATGACCGCTGGTTTAAGTTAACAGAGGTTAACAATTTTGACAAGATCGACCATTCTGAGCTGTTAAAGATATTTGAATGTTTGCCGTGTAGGTTTCTACAAAAGTCTTCAATGATGATCAATGATTTGTTTTATGCTACATGTATGACCTAAAAATCTTTATTTGTTTCCGATTTAGAAATGAATTAAAACGGTATCCAGGCACGAGCTCACCAAAGGAAAATTATGTTTGCTAGTTGGAATTAAGTGTTAAAAAATGAAGCTATTTCGTTTCGCCGATATCAGACACAGTGTAGGGCCAATTTGAGGTTAATTCAAAGTGTAAATTCTGTGTAAATTTCAGCAACGTAAGTAATGCAGTATCAGGAGTAGGTCGTTATTCGTACACCTTTTGATGATTCAGGAAAGATACAAGAATAAAAGTTAATTTGTAACGGAAAAATAAAACTGTGATAGTTTCTCATCCCTAGCTTGGAGGAAGTCAGCTTTCTGATGAGCCTAACTAGCAGGAAAAAAAAATTAAATTTAGGGAAAAAAAAGCTTACTCCTAAGTTAACACATTAATTTTTTTGAAAAGCTTTTCTAAACAGAATTCTTCGTTGAATTTAAAGTTGTTCAACAATTTATAATCATCATCAAAAATATATGCTAAACATGATTTAATTCTTTTAGAAAACGTAAAACGAACATTTAAAAGTTAGTATCCAATATACTAGCATTTATATTTGATATCATAAGAAAGTATCATAAAAAAAATCCTTGTCCTTTTCCCCTACTAAATCAATTTATTATTCATTTCCTATTTTTTGTTTATCCTACAGCATTCATATATTCATAAAAAAAGATTATTTTTTTTATCAAAGAGGGTGCTTTATTGAAGGACTTCTGTTTACAGAGATATCTGAAAAAGACAGTTTTTTAGGTATTCCCATAATTCCCAGTTGACATCAGCAAAACGTCAATATAACGTCTCTACATTGATCAACTTTTAAATGATCAAACTTTCGCAAGATTGTACTTAATAACAAGTACAGTGTGTTCTTAGGCATTTCCCTGATAATATGTTTTAATTATAATGAAATATCCTAGAAAAAAAACCAGTTTGAAATTTACAATGCTTCTTTAGATTCAATGTTCAAAAGCCCAGCTGAATAGCCGAGAAGCAATAATGTACTTTAAGATGGAATATATGGAGACAACGAACAGTATGCAAGCTCAAAAGTTCCTTAAACAAGCCAAATTTGGAGCAGAACAATTATGAATCTTCAAAACATCAGAGGTATGTTCAGGTACCATGGAGATTGAGCATTCCCTGCCGATCGGCCATACCCGCCATGTGCTCCTTGTAATAACGGAAAAAGCCGTCGACAATTCAGTGTATAAACGATGGCCTAACAATTAGTATGAAAAACGTCAGTCAGCATTTGATATGATAAATTGTGTTTGCTGACATGGTAATTGTATCTTCCATAGAACTGATGGCTTTAAACAAGACTACTAATAATCTTGTTCCATCACTTTGTTTTTCACTTACCTCATTTTTAGAAATTTTTCATACGTAGAGCATGCTCTTGCGTATCGAATCAACTGAGAGATATAAACCCCGTATGCAGATGATAAAGATTGTCATATTGTAAATTTTGAATTTACCGGGTGGCAGTAAATACAAAATTTACAACTATGACAACTCGGTAAATTCAAAATTTACAACATGACAGGATACTGCTGCATAAATAAGGGAAGAAGACGATTGCAAAATTAAAGTCATCTCGTTTATCATAAAACTTGATTGTTAGATTACCGTTTATGTCTTTTTCTAACAAAATATCCAAATATGAAACAGATTTACACGGCGGATGTGACCGGATGGCAGTGGATGCTCACTCCTCCATGGCACCTGATCCCACCTCTGATGTTTTGGAGGTCCGTGATTGCTCTGCTCTATTTTGTATTGTTTTATGGACTTTTGAGCCTGAATACTGTTCGTTTACTCCATATATTTCATGTGTCAGATACTGTAGTATCTTTTATTTCAAGCTCACCAGGATATATTGTATCGATATAAGAATGGAAATTATAACTATTGTTAATTGGCAATACGTCATCGATATATCAAAATGTCGAGTTGAAGGCCTTTTCACATACAAGATTTTTGACATATTATGTTTATATGAATACAGAAATAGGTCTGCTAATAACAAGGCGCAATTGGTACCCATGGGAATTCCAATTGATTGTTGGAAGACCTAGTCTCCAAAAACCTCATAGATATTGTCAATAAGAAACTCAAGCATCTTTTTAATATCAACTTTATGCAGAATACTTGTGCGTACAATCAGAATGTTTTTTAACAAAATAATTTTGCAAATGACCATTGACAAGGTAGGTAAATTTACTGTTTCCATTTTTATTAAAAAAAAAAAATGTCAATGATATCAAAAGGTCTGGACTTTAATTTATCGTCGGTGATGATTGATATGAAGTTGAAAATTCATAAGTTTTTATGTTGTTCATTTTGGTAAAATTTTGTGATTTCAAATTTTCCAAAAGTTCCTTTGAACTTTTAAATGTATCCAAAACTGATTTACACCGGCGGAGCAATTATTTTGTAGTAAATTCATTACTCTTTGACGATTGACGATGAATACGGATCAATTTTCTGTTTCATTGAAGTGCCAAACAATTTCATTTTCACAAATAATAATTATGACTAAAAGATAGAGTTACTGAAATATTAAATATTTGGGAAAAGACACGACCCTGGAAGTCTTGTTGCCATATCTTCCAGTGAGGTGTTTGGAGAATTTAGCTCAAAACAATCGCTTTGATCGTTTTTCCTCGTTTAAACAGAAGCGATACCTATGGTAACTTTTACATATATGTTAGAAGCAGGTTATTTTAAGTCTGTATAAAGTTGTTCATGCAGCAACTGGGTCTGTAACTCAGTCTGTAACTCACCACCAGGATGATGAACAAACAATGAACAAATTAGCAAAATAACTATAAACGTTAAACCCTGAAAGCCTATGCAAGTACTTAAGTAAGTACTTTTTTTTTCTTTCTGTCCTGTTTTTCATATCTGAAACGAAATAAAACATGTCACTCATATGCTCAGTATGGTGTTTGTTATTAAATAATTTAATAATATCGTATAATACTACATGTAGTACTACATCTGCAGAAAAAAAGACAGATTTCAAGACGTAACATGTTTCAACATGTATGTACTGTAAATGCTATAAAAAATTGTTTATTCCTTTTTACCTCATTTCTTTCATATTCTAATCGTCCAATTTCGTTCAAGTGCTTTCAAATGAATATTGATTTGGTATTGCTCAATCATTTTTCTCTATTTATCCACACCAGAATTTATTAAATGTGTACACATTTTTCAAGATTTTTTTTTTCAAAATTGCTGAAACATTTCCATAAATCCATAAATTTTTAATCAGCTAAACACTTTAAAAATGATAAATTAGCTAAAATAACGTTGTAAAATATCTACTAGTTTTTATGTCTACAAAATTTTAACTGTCGGTGTTGTTGTTGTCGTTTTTGTTGTTTCTATTTCTTTTTTCTATTTAATAATTAAAAGAAGAAATGTTTTCTGAAGAGTATGATGATTGCTCTTGATACGAATCTATCTTTAATTCAATCTTAACCTTTATACCTAATTTCTTTAAGTGTCATGCAATTGATGAATCGGTACGAAATAACTTCAGGGACTGACAAATATCTTCGTATCCCGCAATGCGTTGCAATTTATTCTTTGATGGGCAGATTAAAGAGTTTAATGTAATTAAGATCATATATCAAATCATTTGAATTTATCTGAATGAGAGATAAAAAAAAAACTTATTTTGGCAAACATTTTATCTGTTTCACTTGAAACAGCCAATAATGCAGATGGTTCTACTTTGTTTACATAATAATATATCTTTTTTGCGCACATTTAATTTGAACAGATTTCTAAAGGTGCGGTAGGTCAATAGGTCAATTATCCCAACTTTTTTTAAACAGGAAAACTATCAAATTTCAATGGTTAAATACAATGTATGGCATTCTTTAGATTGCCATGTTATCATTTCTATTTTTAAAGATATGGAAGTTTTTACATTCTCTCTTCATCAAATGGGAGGCAAACCCCACTTTTAATTCAGCATGGATTATATCCCCTAATGAATATCAGTGGCATAATGTATTAATCACGAATATCATTGCATCAATACTTAAACTGCAATTAGGTAATGTGTTTTAAATTATCATAAAGATTTTGTAGGATAAAACTGCATGCATTAATTACAAAGTATAATACTCTTGTGCATTTTATTACAAATAAAAAATATTGTCACAAGTATTGTAATGATTGCAACATGTATGCATAATATCTTCCTCAGGTTGTGAAAATGTTAGTCATAGTGGTTGTGATGTTTGGGATCTGCTGGTTGCCCATCCATCTGTTTAGTCTACTGGGGGACTTCACCTCGGTTCTACACGAAGTGCATCACCAACATAAACTGGGCATTTTTCTCGGTGCACATTGGTTGGCCATGAGTAACAGTTTTGCCAATCCAGTAATTTATGGATTCACCAACGAAACATTCAGGGTATGACATCAGATTCTTACAAAGAGAAACAAGCAAAGATTAATCTACGTACTAAATAAATATATTTTATTGTCAGATTATACCATAACATATAATATTATTACGCCAATTTGCAAACATTCTGGGTTGCTTTGTTGATTCCTGTATTCTGTCTGTCCTGTTGTATGAATGAAATAATGAAGAAATAAACTTACAGTTATCATGCTTAAAAGTTTAGTGAAACAATAAAAACCAGTAACAGAGAAAAACAGACCCGTAGAATATCAGAGGTAGGATTAGGTGTCAAGAAAAAGTAAGCATCCCCTGTCGACCGTATACACCCCCGTGTGCTCCAATGTCATGAAGGAGAAAACAAAAAAATCTGTAGGCAATTCAGCGTGTGAATAACGGCCAAACAATTAGTATGAAAAACATCCGTCAGCATTCGACTCATTGACAAATTGTATTTGCTAACAAGGTCCTTAAATTATAATGACCATAGAACCTTCAAAATGATGACTTTAAACGAGACTGTTGATATTTTTGTTCCATCAACTTGTTAGTTAACAGCTAGCTTGTGTAGATTTAAGAAATAATTGTTCGTACTTGGAGAACCCTTTTGCATTCCTAATTATCTGGGAGACATGATTCCCATTCAGATGATAATGGTATAGTGCTACAGTAGTAAGGGAAGGTGACTATTATCTAAAAGTTTTATTAAAGTCTCTTCTTTTTTTTATCCAATGTTTTTGGTTTGAATTAGGACTATTCCGGGGCAAAGGAATTAGTAGAAACCACATTTCCTTTGAGAAAGTCTTAGCATTGTACTTTTTGAGTTACGGCATGCTGCGAAATAATACCAACAAATGGTTTCCTGGAATATAGTTCTCTAGTACATATGGTACATGTACTAGGCATCTTTCAGTAGCTCCTGTTGTCAGCAAACGAGAATTCTCAAAGGAAATGCATTCTCTACACTAATGCTGCCAGGAAACAATCCGGACTGAAACTCGATCATTAACATTTAAGGTGAAACTTACAGTGGAATAACTCTTTGTCAAAACATTCCAACGGCTAAAAACAGTCTCTTGGGAGACATTTTACAGAGGGTGGTATTCAAATCCCAAAACGACCTCCGAAAAAATTATACGAAAACTAATAACATTAAGACTGTCATTTGAGTAAAATGGGAAGCAAATAAATGCAAGAACAAAAATCAATCATTAATGTAAATGTGAAAATTGTAATAAAATTGGAAAATTCAATTATATCTCTGTTAAGTTGCAATTTTTTTTATACAAAAATGTGCATTTTATTTGTTTATGAAAGCATATGTTTAGTTAAAAAGGTTTTAGCGATACACCCAACTGTACATAAAATATATATACAAGTTCTAAGAAAAATTAAAGAAGTTGATGTAAAGAACAAACAGGTTTGTGTATAGAACAAAAAGGAACACCAAGTCAATTCATCTGGTATGTCAAATATCCTAAATACAATAATAGCAATAATGGTAAACATCATTTATATAAACACTACATCACATAATAAATACGTGTTGCTCTAGTTCAACATGATTGGTAAATACCACTCTATGGTCAAGGGTTTTTGTGTACTATAATATCAGTATGTTTATATGAAGCAATGCGCAATAATTTCAGAATCCAAGCTGGCAAAAATAAGTCAACATGGTATACCAGTACAATGTATTGTAGACTTGTAGTACATGCCAGGGCAGATGTCAACTATGTTCAGATTTATCAGATTAAGTTCAATGAACTCTTATATAAAATTTTGTGAAAGAAGATCTGGGTGTTGTTGATATTAATAGCATATTTCCATGTAGGTATAATAATCAAAGCTTATCTGACATACAAGCTCAGAAAAATGTCGCTTCAGAGATCGGAAAAATCATCTTTATTGCCTTCATACTCTGCTTATCAATCAGTGATCGCATATGAAAGCCAAAGCCTGCATATCTAGCAACATTCAAGACAATGTCGGTGCAATGGTATCGAGTTCATCAGATCTTGCATCAATTGTAAATGTATCTGCTTTATCAATATGCTTTGGTTATAAAACGCAAGATGTATTTGCTAACAGTTTTGCACTCTTATCAGATTGGGTAATAAAAAGGTTCAAACCAAACGGCTTTTTATTGCATCATAAGCATTGCTAGCTCTATAAATTTTTATAAAATGACAAAACTAACATGGTAAATATCGATGAGAAATCAAATGGGCTTAAAATATGTACATGTGTCTTAACTTTTTTTTTGGAAATACACGTTAGTTTGAACTTGAAATCTATAATGATAGACAGACCTTACCTTACAAAAAAAAAAGTCGCAAAATTAAATTTGAAAAACGAAATTACAAATGAAAGGGAATAAGCTTTTTAAATTTTTCATTTGTTCTACAGGAAATATATACGTAGAGATAACGAACAGTATACAAACTGAAAAGTTCTGTAAACAATTATATAAATTCTGAGCAGAGCAATCACGGACCACCAAATCAGAGGTGGGATCCGGTGCTACGGAGGAGTGACAGAGTGAGCTAATACGAGTATTTAAAGCTTTCTTTTGGTGTTTATCTTATTATTCATTTTTTTCATTTCAAAGTTGATTTATATTGTAGCCAAATGTATACATTTCCTAATTTGTCCAAATGGTAATGATGGTAACTTTAGACATTATATACTACATGTTACTACAAATTTACTACATGTACCATTTAAAGAGTTCTGAATTCTTGAATGGGGTGTGGGTGTCTGTAAATAAAATAGTATTATCATAGGCGTCGTCTCTGACATTTGAATATTAACTGTTGATGCACTTTTTCACTTTTTTGCAGGCAGATCTAGTAGTCCTGTTACACAACTGGTTTCCATGGAGTCACTGTCTACGTGACCTTATGACCCGAACATACAGTCTTTCAACATATGACAGCGTCATCTACCGGCGAACCACGATGCTTCAAAGACAGACATCTTTAAATAATAATTTGTCCTCCACAAAATCACTTAAAGTAGCAGCTGCAAACGGAAGTTCGCGTCCAATGAGAAAACTTCACAGAGTCGGAACAGAAGTGCGAATGAATAAGTCCCATATTCCTGTCAGAAAGTTTAGTTCAATACAATACATTCACAAGAATCCCGACAAACCTGACGATGACCGCTCCGGATCCTGACATTTTATTGGTAGAACTTTTTTTGTGAATGAAATATAAATCCTTTACAAGTTTTCGTGTGTTTTTAATTCTGTCTACTTCATGTTGATTATGTTGAACGAGTTATTTTAATGGCAATGAGATTTTCACATTAACCGATTTGAATTAAAGTGACCGAATTTTCAAATGCACGCTGTAAACTATTACATGTAACTCTTCGAATGAAACGTCCCTTGTATTATGGACCTTAATTTAAATTAATGTCTTCTAACTCAGCACTTTTTTGACTGTCCCAAATCAATAAAAAGTCTATTAATACCAATAATTTTCACGCATCCCTAAAAATTGGATCTGTGCTCTTTCGTCATTGAATGTTAAAAAACCAGGAACCATATGAGGGTTCGTGATACAAATGTTTAAGCATGGAATACAGTTCAACCAGAAATGAATGCAGCGTTCATTATGTCAAGTCGTGATTTTCAGAATCTGTTTGGCACATAACATCCTCTTTATGCAATATTAAAATTCCCAGATATGACATCAAGGTTTCTTTGATAATGTTATCTTCCAATTTATAATTTAATAAAAATATATGCAAGTATTAGTTCTTTGTTACCTTTCTTTGGGTAAAGAATGCGAAAGCGCAATTTTGATTGAGTCTTGTAGAAATTTAACGATTAACATGAAGAAAGAAAAACGGAAAAAATTCGGTCAGCTTTGGCCTTTACTATCCCCACTATGGTTTTTCTTCAAATATACCATGATTTGTAGTGGCATTTTCTTCAATGTTTATGTGATTAAGAAAGCGTTGGCGTTGTTTACGAAAACAAAAAAATTAGGAAAGCCTTGTAAAAACATTTTAAAACAAAACCTAAAAAAACATTTTGTCAAATCCTTTTCGAATTCGATGTGTTTTAGCAAGATGAAGGTAAGAAAAAACCCGGAAGTGACAGACCTGGTTGGTCCATCCTCAGTGTTTCATTACATGGAATACTAAGTAGTTTGAAGGCTCTAGATCTAAAATGAAAACTTGAGTATCATTTTTAAGGGCAAGCTATGTATCTAAATGCATGTTATAATTCTTTATTTCATAAAAATGTGTTTCAAGTCAGCAAAATCGCAAAATATCAGCAAAAACTTCACTGGCCTTTGACTCTTTATTGAAGTAAACTCTTCTTTTCTTTCCAAATGCAATATTTCTACAGTCTTTTTAAAAAAAAAACCAAACAAATCAACAATTTGAAAAGAGTTTATCATGAGCTCTCTTCCAATTCTGAAGTTCCTCCAAAAACCGCGCGCAAATATCTCAACAGACACAGATCAACCTTTTTCATTAGGGTTAAGACTCCTCTGCCAATTTGTGAAGAGATCTTATTTGCAGCAATAGATAAAGTGCGTATCTTGTCAATGTTAAGTAGCATGCAGAAAATTCTGGTAACAGTTTTATTACATGTTGTCATGAGGCTTGGCAAATGAAGTCGTCGTCAAAATGAACCGATTTGTGTGAGTTCCTTGCAATTCAGAGATTTTTGCACAAGAACATGCTTTATATAAGTAAAGCAATTGCAGGCAGGTGGGTCTACAGAATATGACTTATCTTAATTAATTGTCAGAAGTAAGTTAAGCTCTGCACGTAATTAATGGAATACAAGTAATTATTAGAGTTATTCCTATAATTACTTGGTATGTTTTGTCCGTTCTGGTAAAGTGCATCGCGTTATTAGTGTTAAAGATTTTGGAAGTCACAGTAACTTGCAGAGAATAATTGATTCAACGTGCTTCTTTGTCTATGGAGTAATCATACACTACTTCTTCCCACAAAGTCAAATAACACTTTAATTGAGTACATACAATTTCTAAAGGTTAATGGTACAAGTAGAAATATATTTTTTTCTAATCTGATTAAAATTTCAAGACTGTGAAAACTATCTTTATGTTAACATCTAACTTAACATATATGTATATTTTTCGAGTTCCTATATTTTCTATTTTTAAAATCTTGATGGAATGATATGTTTTTAGTCTCATCTTGACAATTTTACATCTAAACAATGTGTAGAAGTACTAGTGACATGTCTGGAAATAATTTAACACCTTATTCTATATGTTTATTAAATGCAACACTACACGCAATGATCAAAATTGAAAATTGATACAGAAATTGATGTGTCCTTAAGTAGTTTACACTTAATCTAGATTTTAATCAAATTTGTCTGTTGGTGGAGCCACAGAGTGCAATTATAACAGATTTTCCGTAGGATTGACACCTCTTGTAGGTTCTAAAATCACTAAATAGAATTAGGAAGGCTAAAATAGAATATACATGTACAACAGTTAAACCATATCAGACGGCAAATGAGGAGGAGGTAGAAAATTCAATCGGTAACAGATATGGGACAATCATAACAATTTCCAGGAACGTGATCGCTGATTTTTAAGCAGTAACTTGAAGGCTATTTTTGGACATACACCTACTTACCGATCTTGAATATCTTTAATGATGAGGGACAGTTTAAAAATAAATATTACAACTACCTTGGACTGTGTCTTATTATTACGTGGTTAGCCTTGATCATCTATCTATCAATTTGCTAAAAATGAAATAACAATGTTTTTAGGTAACTTTTCAAAGAATTTTTAAGTCAAGTTGATTTCCTATCGTAACATAATATATGTACTTTACAATGCACGTTTCCAATTGATAATTTTCTAAGATAACCTGAATTTTAAATCAAATTTCAAAACTACCTAAATGACCACTAAACCCTTGTACCATGATGTTATTTTTTGATAGTATTAACCTCAGCAATTTACTTAATCGATTTTTCGTTCCTCATTTTTTAAAGTAAAGTTAAAATATGACTTCCATTGAATATAACGACACAACCAAGATAAACCATATGCGAAATATTTTCTTAATTGTAGTTTGGAAACGGATTGAGTAAGTTAAGCTCCTAGTTAATTAAAAGATGGGGTTATCTATTTTTATTAAGTTCCAGCGACTAAGAATCAATAAAAACAATTCCGTTGTTCTTAATTAATATTGACTTGGCATGATCTCTGTCTAATTTTTTCTATATGATGCACGCAGGAATAAACTCGCCATTTCACAGCCTTGTTCGTTCATGACCATTGAATTCTCATTCCAAGTCTTGGCAATATTATGATTTAACCTTGAAACCTTTGTTAATAGCTCTTCAATATTTTATGCAACCCGGAGCTATTTTTTAGGGACCAAACAATATTAATCAAGTCCTACTTTACATATTTATGTGTATTCCTTGTGGCAACACCTTTCTATTGGTTATTATAGCTTTCGAGATTTGAAAATTTTTAACCTTGGTCTTAAGCGGTCATACGAGGTTTTCGCAGAACTAACCTTTTGATCACTTAAATTAGACATATAAAAAAGATATTTTTTGACACCTCATTTTTTTGTAAGCGATATAAACCCTGTGGTTTAATGTAGAATTAAATTATGTAAGATATCATTATTAAGTTGCAGGATTGTGAGAGATACATTGCGGTTGCTGTATGCAAATGTACATGTATATAAAATAAATGGGGTTTTCTCAACGAAAACTGCATGTATCATCAGAATGTAGATGGTATTGTTATTAAATAAAAGCATGTAGTAATGTTCAATTATAATGATGGCAATTAAAATTAACCCAATTAACCCAACATTTTAGATTAATGTATCATAAATCTAAATTGAATTCACTGACTTAAAGACAATTTGGAAATTGTTAATGGAGGAAGAAGAAAGTAAGTTTAAAGTTTAAATTTTAAAGCTATAAGCGGACTCCGAACCGTGGCTTGAGACGAACGGTGTATCCAGACACTGATAAAAGGCGGGGTGGGGGTTGAAAGCAAGCATGAGTTTGAAGCTATAAATCTAGAAGTATACAACTGAGCCTAAAACTTGTTCTTTAATTGTTTGTGAAAACATTCCTTTAGGTATATCGTTTTTTTTTTTGGCTTCTCAAGGAATTTTAAATTTCGCTCCCCTGCCCTTTCCCTCTCACCCCCTGTCCTTTCCATAGAATATTTTTCCTTCAGATTTAGAATTGAATGCTCATGTCAATTGTTTTACGATTTATAAACTTTAATATTATACTTTCATCTAAATTAGTTGAATGTGATTGGTCGAGAAACATTTGTTAAAAAACACTATTACCCGCTGAATAATGAAGCCACGCCCTCCAGCGTAGCAACAGTCAATAGTGCTTGACGACGGGTTCTATTCCAAAAAATAGCGACTGCGCAGAATTTATGCGCACACAGTTCACTGTTATATGTATTTGTATATGTATATGTATATATAAAACATTCAGTATAATATAATAAACATTGCATGTAGTTGAGTGTAACATTGAAAATTTTCACCCCTCGAAAACTATTGTCAACCTCGGCTGCGCTTCTGTTGACAATGGTTTTCTTGAATCTTTGGGTGAAAATTTTCAATGTTACACTCAACTACATGCAATATTTATATATTGATATCTCTGTAAGAGGATTTCAACGGAGGCAACCTTGTTATAATTTTCAATATCACATTTCGCATGGCTATCTTTTTGATCGAAGGGCTCTTTTGCTTAATTGAATAATTGTGTAATTTTCCCATAAGCATGGCTAATGCCTTCATTAAGCGGTGAACATTTACTCAAATTACAATGATGGCCAAACGATTAATCATTTAGCACTGTCCATTCAAAACTGTTCAGTGGACCGAAAATCTGTGGTTAGTAGATAACATGTATATGAAACAACTAAAGGTTATATGAATGTTTACACATGTATAAACAAAAACCGTTTGATTAATAAACCAAACGAACATTCATAAAATATGATATACAGGGCAATGAGGAAGTCATGACGCAAGTTGATTCTTCATTAAATACGACAAATAACACAAAGATCTGATCGTGAACTGTGCAGCAGTACATGAAGTTTCTGTTGTCTGAAGTTATCGCCCTTAAAAATTTAAATTAAATGCATTTTTTGCATAAATAAACAATTCTGCTTTATTCATTTGTAAGGATAAAAATCAAGAATAAACATTTTATAATTT